TTCACTATCCCGCAGCCGATGTGCTACACGACGAGCTCGTCGCTCGTCGTGGGTACTTCTCGCAGCAATGGCGACATGTCGGATGTATCCAAGAGCATACCGACCATGTCCATCGTCAACGCTATGCCGGGCTACGCAGCCGGAGTGCGATCAAGGCTCGGCGCGTCCACCTCCACAGCCAAGACGTACTCGTCGAACATGGCGAGCTCATCACTCGTCGTACACGGCGAGCTCAACGGCCGCGATGATGTCGCCATCGACGTACCCCTGAGCACGTCGATCGACTCATCCGCATCGATCTCTGCCACTGCCTCGACAGTGCGAAAGGCAGATTCGCCCACGCAGGCCGTCAAGACAGGTCCATCGAATACGCAGAGCTCGTCACTCAACGCACTCGGTGAGACCAATGGCCACAGCAATGCTTGTGGTGTACACCCTCACACGGTTTGCTCCGCTGTCGGGAAGTTATCGTCTGGTGCACCGAGTGCCTCGCTCGGCGTACCTGGCGAGATCAATACTCGTGACAAGGCCGTCATTGACATGCTCGGAAGCATGTCGACCGCGTTAGGTTCAACAACGCGCGAGGCCGGCGACAAGTCCAACCTCGACGAGCTTATGTCGAGCCTCTCCATGTCGGACACATGCAGCACGCACGAGGAATTGACCTCGCGCGTGCGCATGTCCGTCTCTACCGTTAAGACCAGAGACGACGCCGCGATCGACGCGCCCAAAGGTTCGTCGATCAGCTCGTCAAGACCCCTGCCCGCTACGACCTCAACAATGCGCAAGCCCGACACGGCGAACCAGCGCGAGTCTGCAGGCATGAAGAAGCCCAGTACATCCACTTGGTCGGATGTACTGGCATACTCGCCATCGCCAGCTTCGTCGAGGACTAGGCAGCAGAACAGGTCATCTGGCGCACGGACCCTCAAGGACTCGGCGCCCACTACAGGCCGCCTCGATGTCGAAGACACACGCCCACGCAGGTCCGATCTCGACGCGTCCGCATCGAGTCGCCATGCGTCGCGTACCCGCCGCACGTACGGGAACTCGACCTTGTGCGTGCGCAATACGCCAACCTCCATATTGGAGACCGCGCCCCGCGATGCGATCGGTGTGCACTCAAGCACGACCGGCGCATCCGATCCAATCACGAAGGCACGACCGTCGTCTACGCTGAGCTCCCCGCTCTGCGTACACGACAGGGACGAACCTTGCGACCAGGCCGTCGCCGACGTACTCAGAAGCACGTTGGCCACGCCTAGCTCGTCAAGGCACAAGCTCCTCTCGGTCAACGCCCCGTCAAGCGACGCCATCGGCATGCGATCGCACATGTCCGGCGCGTCCCCCTACGCTGTCAATACACCATCGTCGAGTACAGCGAGCCCTTTGCTCACTGTACACGGCGAGGTCAACACACGCAACGACGACGTGGTCGACGCGCTCAGAAGCACGTCGACCAGTTCATCGACATCACTGCCCGCATCCGCTTCGACAACACGCGAGGATCACGACGGGTCTGACAAGACAGACCAGTGCGATCCTGAAGGCGTGAAGACCTGGCCGCTGGGCTTGTCATATAGCACACGGACCCGCAAGGACTCTACGTCCCTTGCAGGCCGTGTCGATGACGAAGATGTGCGCGAGCACGAAGCACCGTTGATGGTCCCCCCGCCGGACCTTCTAGTACCTGGTGCACGGACCCGCAGGGACCCTACGTCCATTGCAGGCCGTGCCGATGGCGAGGACCTGCCCGAGCATGAAGCCCTGGACATGTTGTCTGACGCATGGACCACCAAGGTCTCGGCGTCCAGTACAAGCCGCTTCGATGGCGAAGAGCTGCGCAAACGCAAGCTTGACCTCAATGCACCTACGTCGAGTCGGTATACGTCGGGTACGTGCCGCACGTACGAGGATACGATCTCGTGCGTGCGCACTCCGTCAACCTCCACGTCGACTGGGCGAGTCGTCGAGCAGCCGACGAGGCACAGTACACCCAAATTACTGGATGTACTGACCTCGTTGTACTCGGCAACCAAGCCTGCGTCGACAACCTACACGTTGGACACCTCTTGTCCATCTCAACATCGCGGTGATATTCATCCCGCAATCAATGCCGACCGCCGTACGCACAGGGACGTGACCGTGCGCGTGCGCAACGTACTTTCGAGTACTGCGGGTGCATTTCAATCATCAAACGAACTCCGAGCATTGGGTACGTCGAGCAGTAGCTGGCTCGACGTGCGCAATGCTACGAAGAATTATACCTCTGCCGGTGTACTCTGGGAAGTACCCGGATTACCTACCTCTGCACCATTGCACGGGGCTATGGCGACCTCCTCGGTTACTATAGACCCTGCTGGTGTTAAAATCAAGATGGAGGAGGGGGAAGGGACCGGTACTGGTACTAGTACCGTTTTCGGGTTCCAAGGCTCGGAAACCCGGGACTCGCCATCGCCTGTGTCGTTGCCACCGCCGCGACTTGTACCGCCGCCGCCTGTCCTCTTGCCGCCGCCGCTACCTCCCTCGTCACCGTCATACAGCATGACGAGCTCGTTGCTCGTCGTCACCGCGGACCGCAGTGACAACTACATGTCGGACGCACCCGAGAGCCTGAGCGCGTCCAACATGTCAGTTGTTATTGCTATGGTCTGCGAGGTGCGGGTTCGCATGGTCAATGGGTATGTTATCACCATGACTATGTTCCTGCGAGTCGCTGCGACGCAGTCGGTGTGCGATCGGGCACGACTGGCGCGTCCATCTCGTCCACCATGGCTCGCTCGTCGAGTACATCGAGCACCTCGCTCAGTGTACACTGCGAGCCCATGTACCGAAGCACGCGCGACGTACGTCATGTCGTACCCGCGGCTTCACCTCTCGCGGCGACCGTGATCAATGCGCATGGATGCACGTTGATCGTGGTGTCTACCAACATGTGCTCGTTGAGTACCTTGAGTTTCGTTCTCGAATCTCAATGTACATGGCGAGACCATTTCCCACCACCCATCGTGTACACGAGGGTTCAACCTTGTGTGTGCGAGAGGATGTTGTGGATGTAGACCCCTCTCGTGGTCGTGCCATGTTCTTCTTTCTTCGAGACTACCTGTATTCCTGAACTTGTTGGATGTTCAGGTGCAGGCAAGTAGTATGCTGGCACGACATAGTATGTTTTCTCTTCTTGTATGTATTCTCATACCTGTTGCAGTATGTTCTACCATCGATGGTTGAACATACTCAACCCCGATGAGATCATGCTGTGTACATCCATTTGGGATGTTCACTACGTGGACTACTCTACTTTAGGTCCGTTTGGGATGTGGTCAATTCACGGAGACCCTGTGGATGCCACATGGATTACTGTGTTCCGAGACCCAGCCCACAGTCTATCCTACCTGGACCTGATGTGAGTACTCTGCTACAAGAAGACAAGCATAGTATGTTATCTTCATTGTCTTTCGCTGGGACTCGTGAGACGAGTCCAGTGGGGGAGAGTGTAACGGGCCTATTCGGATGTCATCAAGACCTACCCGATATGGACTATCTTATCTATATGCTGTTTGCTTATGTTTGTACTCCCCTCATATGGCGCGCCAGCGCACTTCCTGTAGTCTCCAACTACCCTTTAATCACTGCCTAAACGATACACATAGTCTGTAGACTTCTCTTGAATAGAGATTGGATACAGCGTATCTGCGGGTGTGAACTGGGTCGTTACAGGCGGCATGCATGACCCTCAGGCGGACAACAACGTGGACATTCCGCCCATTCGTCCCTTCGACCATCTGAAGCGCCTCTTCGTCAAAGGGAAGACGACCGGGGTGGCGGTGCTTGCCGATGCAATAGTTGCGCCTGGACTGGAGGACATGGAGATATGGTTCAAGTCTGCATGGTCTGCGGAGGAAGGGGGTCCCGATGTAGTGGCAGTCGCGCTCCACGCGATCTTCGACGCGCTGCGTCGCCGGAATGCTGGGTCTCTACGGAGGCTTTGTCTGATTGACCTAGTCTGCTCTCAATCTCTGTTTCCCGGTGGGTACACAGCTGGCACGCCTTTCCACGCGCTGGCTTCTCCACTGCTCGCACTCCAACGTCTCCAGGACGTCGTGATACAGGAGGAATTCCCCGATGATATCGATGTCCCTAGCATGGTGGCAGCATGGCCAGCGGTACGATCGCTCGAGTTGCCAAACCTATTCCTCACCCTCGGCTCGCTGCGTGACATCGCGCGTACATGTCTTCAGCTCGAGTGTCTAACAGTGTGCTCTCTATTAGACGAGGATGGCCCTCTAGATGACCTACGCTCCCAGGCCACCCAACAGCGCACTTCAAGTTCTTCCGACACGGACAGTGCCCCGGGTTCGGAGGCGACTGAGTGCGCGCTTCGAGAGCTACACGTCGACGAACCACTCTACATCGAGCACCGGTCTGACATCAATATCATCGCCCACTTTCTGGACTCGCTTTTCCCTCAACTTGACGTAGGGCGCTCTTCGCAGTTCGTCGTCTTTAATGGGGACGACCCGGAGGATGACGCTGCAATCATGAAGCAAGTGACGAGGTTGCAACTGGCCAGGAAACAGCATCTGTAATAATATCCAGATTCGTCTACGTATACCCTTGATCGAACCCACGAACATCATCTCACAAACTCTTCCTTACATCGCTTCTCCGGCCGTGACGCGAAAACGACACACAGGAAAACTCTGGACACGAACGTTCCTGTCCCACATCCATTGTACGATGGTAGTCAGCCTGAGGGGAGGAGAATCGAACACAAACCGAATTGATGCCGTAGCGGATGGCAGACATGTGAGTTTGTGACTCGTTTAACTGACTCGTTTGACGATGACTCGCGATGGCGTAGCTAGGTGGATCACACGGTTAAGCACGGTTGAAAGCACGCGGGCACTTGACAGGCGTGGTCATGTTTTTCGTCAAAGAGCCGATGCCGACATCTAACTGAATATTTGTGTAGTTCTCAGTGCCAGAATGAATATCACTTCGAAGTTGACACATCCCAGTTGCCTAGCTTACCAACAGCCAGTATTCGACGGCGAACACATTAGGTGACCGCGATATGGGCGGGCGCGTGGATAGTGTATTGAATGTACGTATTGCGGCCATGTTGACACAAACAGCCCTATGCCAGGTGTGCTTGTCTCCCTACGCAAAATCCAGCGCGTTAGCCTTGAACCAGGGCGAAGCGGGAAGAACATCAACGTTCTAGAGGTCCGAGAATTGCCTCCAGCTATAGGTCAGCGCTCAGCGCTCAGCGGTCAACCATCGTCACTGTTATCTTACCACAACATCCATGCTCGTATCTCTTGCGCGAACCAGCCTGTAGCGTTTACAGGGCTACACAGAGTCGCAACTGCTCCATTTCCTTTATAACATCATTGTAAGTCTTCACTCGACCCTCCTCCTCCAACATCTGGAATGGGCACTTTGGTCACCGCGATTTTACTTGTCACGAGACCACACTCGCCGTCTGTGTATGATGCATGCGCTAACTATGATGTCAGGGGGCGGACAAGAGGCTTGGAACCTACGCGTTCCGTTATTTACTATGTACCTTTCCGCATTGTTATCCCGCATCGACGTTCGTATCATGCCCAATGCCCGACCAGGCTATGCCGAATGCGGCGACAGGTCGTTCATGCATGTGCGACAGGTGATGTCGTTCTCATTCGCGTGGGCGGCCTCTGTGTAGAGCGTGTGGACCGACTGACCGAATACACGATAGTGCCGATGAGCGGTGGTCTCATGTTCCACGACTATGTCGGCGCTCGAGGCGATGAAGTAGCGCATGGTGGTGATAGGTATTGAGTAGGTATGCAGTGCACATACAACCCATCATGCAGTCTGGAAGAGGTGTCGTGTCGCGACCGGGTAGCGCAGGCTGAGTCGTAGCTCGTCTTTTGATGTGTAGGCGGCCGAATGAACTGATGCTGTGCATGTTAGACACGCGATACACAAGACCCTTTGCTGGTATTGGATTGAATGGGAACTGTCTCGTGCATTCCCTTCCTCTGTTTACCTTCCTCTATTCAGAACCCTGCGCAGCCTCGATTTCATGTCTGTGGTCTAGGTTCGACACAAACCCCGCACGTGAACGTGGACGGTCTTGCGGCGAGACTAGTCTGGGGTCCACCTAGATTATCAATCAATGTTCATTTAACAAGCTCAACGTTCGCGCAGACCTGCCTCACGCTTGCTCAGCCAATCAGGCGCGCTGCAATCGAGGAGACTCGGACCAGCTCCCTGTGTGCGTTTCTCGAGCACTCGGGGCCGACTGGGTGCAAGTAAATAATGTGAGTATTACTTCATACAAATTCATGTTAGAGGGCTATCCTGCCATTGCGATTGCGAAAGCCTTGACTCCACGGTGTCCACTTAAAGCAGAGAGCCGCTTCTAGGCCTAGCATCGTGTGTTTGTGTCCGACGCTTCTATACGCGCCGATGAGCTAGCGCTCTGTTGTATTGATGCATACTTATATGCATCGCTTATCGTTGCCTTCGCTGTCCCTGCGCTCTCCCTTCGTCTAGCTTCTCGTTTTTGCAGTGCACACCAAGAGTCATTGAAAGTCCTCGCGAGGTAAGTACGACTCCTCAATAACGGATACTCTTACCGATGTTCTGATTTTCTTCCAGTGTCGCGAGCTTCAACGGTCGTAAGCGACTGGCGAGCTGACAACCCGGACGACGGACTTGGCTTGTCTGATATTGACTTTGAACACCACACAAAACAGGTAACTCAATTTCGCATTCTGTTTGCCCTTCGCGAGCCGCCATCTGAGACATGTCGCCAGTAGCGCGTTCTTCGCCATCGAGGGCTCTGCGTGGTCGTCTCACATGTGCAGGAAGCTTTGGGACTTCCATCGGGACGACAACGCTGTCACGCCGCCGTTAAGTAGTGTGTACTCCATCCGGACAGAATGGACAGAGACGAGTTAATGTAAGTGTCTTGGTCAGAACGTGGACAAAATGATTTACACATGTAGGGTACAGTGCAGTTGTAGCGTCCGAGGGCTCCTCTCATGGACCTTCGATTTCACGGCTTCCTGTAGAGCTCTGTGAGCGAATCCTCGACCACCTAGCAATGGAATGGGATCTTCGGTTTGCGGACCCGAAGGGAGAACCCCGTATGACTACCCTCGCATGCTGCTCGCTGGTGTGCAGAACCTGGTACTACCTGACATGGTATCATCTCCGCCAATGCATCCATTTACGAGACCGGAAGGACGTCCTCTTATTGTCCAAGACACTTCGCGAGAGACCGCGTCTCCGTGAGGTCGTTCAACAAATCATCATATATCAGTCGATTCAGCATCTGGGGACGTTTGCGGCCATGCTCGTGGGCAAGATTCCGAACTTGTCGATGATCACCATCAGAGACCTCGAGTGGACCATTGGCTCGGTCCGAATTGAAGACTTCAGCTATCTCGCCGCCTTCTGCTCTGTCACTACTCTACACGTCTACAACATCACCCTGTCGAGCGTCGCTCCGCTAGCCCACCTTATTGCAGCTTTCCCGAGGCTTAGGCAGTTATGGTGCATCAATGTCATCTGCTCGCAGACCCAAGCCTCTCCGGTCTCACTCCCACTCAACTTCGCAAATCTGTTGGTCATCGATGTGCGATGGGTTGCACCGGCGGTTGAAGACCTCTTCGTGCGGATCAGCCAAGCTTCTCGGGCGCGCGCTCTCGTTCTCGGAGTGGCTGACGAGACGCATCCATCCCCTGCAACCAGCAGAAGTCAAACGTTGCTGGATGCAACTTCTGCATCTGTTGAGGTGGCTGTGTTGCATATTGATATCAGCTCTCCCGCGCACGATGTTACAATTGATGCCATAGTGGGGAAGTTTTCTTGGTTCTTTCGACAACCACTTGACTGACAGTTTTATGTCTACAGCACAACACTATAATCTCTTGCGTCACGAAAGTCTGCGGGGGTTGGACATCAGCCTGTACTACCCCTGCACAGCATTGACTTGGATTCCACACATATTATCTCACATTACTTCGAAGAACTTCGAGGTTATGTCAGTTGTGCTGGCGCTTCGGGCGGACCAAACAGCCCAAGACCTGGGCGAGATGCTGACAAAGATGGAGGAGGACGGCGTCTTGACACAGCTGGACAAAATACTGCAGGAGAAGCACTTGTCCGGCACTGTCGCACTGCGCGGCGTCTGTCTAGGCTTTGACGACGATGGCGTTGCTTGGCGCTTTGGCAAAACACCTGTCGGGACGGTTTCAACACTCGGAGAGCAATACGATCGTTGGGATGAACTTGTCAGGCGGAAGATGCCACACTCCAACCGGCGAGGTCTGTTGACGTATGTGATACTATTGATATGGTCAAATTCCGGAGGAAAGCTAACTTCCCTCATAGCACCGTCCATAATGCCCATGAACACATCATCTGGAGACGGAAAATGAAACGATACGATATCAAAGCAGTTGAACAGAAGAATGTTACTGGAGAGGAGGTCCAGGGTCAAGATGACGAGACTCATCAAGGCGGCATGGATTGACGTCCTTGCGACGCTGCATCCTGGCCGATACTATTGCATGCAGTGCCGTACAGAAGCGTCATCATTAACGCTGTTCTGCTCGCTCGCTCTGCGATGATAGTCAACCAGATGCAGGTATGAAGCACGCCCGTGACACGGGTTGAGAAAGTTGAGATATTACTGGCGGGCGGACAGCATTGCACTCACAATTACATGTAACACATGGTCATTGTTAGGAATTAGGGTTCACGAACGACGATTTTGATATGTTGTATCCGAAATCCATTGTTAGAGAGGGAGCCCCCAATTATGCAGAATGTTTTCAAAGTGTGTAATTTACGTGCCGTCGAGCACTGCGTACACATGTCTCGTAAACATCAATTCGCACGATTGTCGTTGACGAGGGTAGCGTTGTCGCAAGCAACCGAAGAGATGACGTACAGTCGAAGGGCGACGTGTGACACATAGGTCCACTATACTATCGTCAGGCTGGGCACTTGTGGATGCAATGCGCGTAGACTCACCTCCTGGTGTCCACTCAGTCAATTTATCAATCCCTGACCTCCTAGCTCAACTACAACGCGCGATCTCTGCTCGTGCGCAGTGTCTTGCTGCCGTCAGGTCGACACCGCCCACGCTTTGAACGTCTGGGCATGCCTGTGGATGGGACACGCATCAAATGGTTGGGCAGGATAATGCGTAAACGGTTGGACGGGACGTCGGCCGTCCTGTGTTGTCCGGACGCAGGCAGTGGTGCAATGGCGAGGATGGTCCGCGATGGCTGGCAGTGAAGACGGTCGCTGTTTTTTGCGAGGCGTATTGAGCAACGAAGACCGGCAATTGCTTGGGGTACATAGCACGCGTCGATTAGCCTCGTTATTGGAAAGTTGTGAGAGACACGCCTTTGGGTGTCCGTCAAATGCAGAACGATGCCGTGTTTGCTCTTGGCCAGGTTTTGTAGCTGGGAAGCTCAGTAGCGCGATCTTGGGCAGAGCCTCTGTCCGACTTGACGTACGGGTGGTGCGACGGGGGAGAGGTGAACGTGAGGCGTTCGCAATGTTTCCCAGAAGCTAACTCATAGCGACGACTTGGGAGCATGTGACACATAGGTGTTGCAAGGCAGGGATAGATAAAACAACGGACAAAAGAAAGTCTGTCTGAACATAGAAATTAGCGTTGTCAATAGAGCAGAAACAGAGATACTCACCTAGCGCGGCGCATCAAATGCAAGGGGTTGCTGCTGGCCTTACCGCCCCCCAGGGAAGACTGGGTGTTGCCCTTGAGCGCTGAGCCAGGAGGAGGCTGAGTGTCCTGGAATGTGTCTTACTCACGAAACCCATCCGGTCTTGCGTCTTGCTGCTCGTCGTGGCTGCGTCCAACGCAGTGGTGAATATTGAATATTGAATATTGAATCCCCGGCTCGACTTGGGCTCGACAGGGCTCGACGCGTCGTGCTCGGCGTCTACGCGATCGATCTGTCCCCGAACTCGATGGCTTCCACAGCCTGAGTGCCCCAAGACCAAGGGCGTGCTCGACCGCCTGTTTGTCTAGGTTCCTCCTCGCTATCTAGTGTTCGATTCAAATTCTCTTCGAAAGAGCTAGGAATGAGAGGAAAGGACCGCGACGAAGAGGGAAGAGAGTATTTGACTGCGCGTGTCAAGATATGTAGCGATCCGGTGTGTACTCGCTGTGCAATCCGACCAACAGTACCTCCCTCGCACGACGTCGTCCTTTACCGCCCCTCACAGCAGTCGCACGGCGCCTTGCGAGCACGTATTCTCATTCCAGGAAGCTCTATCTAAATTCATCTGCACGACTCGCATCACCAAATGCCCGCCGACCGCAGCTGCTCGTGCGAGCGCGTCCCAGCGGATGTACCTCGTAACGGGGAGTGGCAAGGTAGTCGACAGATAAGAAGGGATGCGAAGAGAGAAAGGCGAGGATGAGGCAGACCTGGAGAGGCGAGTATGAAGCAGGCTAGGAGAGACGGGGTGCGAGCGAACAATAGGACAGGCCATGGAGCATGAAGACGAGCGAGGAGAGGCATAGTATGAACTGGGAACAAATCGCCGTACGAGTCGGACATCCACAGTGCTAAGTTTTCAGCTGTGGAAAACCGGTGTACGGGTCGTCTTGGTTCTCGCGCTGCTGCCGCCCATCCTGCTGGCCGTGTGACGTCGAGCTGCTACTGGTGTTTTTGTTCCCATTGACAGCACCGTTCTCCGCAGTGCCGCCCGGTTCTTTCGTCGGTGCGCTTTTCTTTTTTTTATTGCTGGGCCTTGGAGGTCGGCTCATGACGGGCTTTTTGATGGGCGCCATCGGTGGCGGTGATTATCGGGTCAAAGACGGCACGGACTACGACAGTGAGCTCGCAGTGAAATCTGTGCGAGTGGGCGAGATGCGCACGTGAGGAGGAGGAGTTCCAGCCTGAGCTTCACCGTTACTGCGTTGCGACAAGTGGCACGGTGGGCTGTCGTCGCAGTCGAACGATGACGACGATCAGAATCAACTTGAATGTGTACGACGAGTTGCTCGGGACGAGGTACGCACTTTGCTAGATTGCACACTATGGGCTGGGAACAACTGACTGGGGGCCAATTGCCCAGGGACGGACGGACGCGCACGCTCAATTTAAGTACGTCCTGAAGCCGACCGCGCGCTACTGTCCGGCGTGCTTCCCTCCCCTACCAGTGGACGCAGAGTGGACACTGGACGCACCGGCACGCACGGCATCCGATAAGCAAGGTACACATCGCCTGAGTCGCTGGATGCGTTGCGCGACACTCCGCTTCGATGTCCAGCTCAGGCCTACCAGCCTACGAGTAACCAAGACCGGTGCACTTCTGGGCCTACGAGGGTCTGGCGGCGATACGGAGGGGGCTGATACATACACGGTGGTCGACAGCTCGTGCACAGGTTGACGCGTCTGCCGGGAATCGCGGGCCCAGGGCAGGTTCAGGGGGTCTCAGCGCTCAGGCCCAGATGCCGTGCGCAGGAGGAGCGCTGCAGACGATCTCGAATGCTAGTTAGGAGGACGACCCTGCGCAAGGATGTGATGAGAATGCAAAATCGGGGGTCTGGACGTCGGTTCACTTACATGTAGCCAGAGACGCTACGAGCGTACCATGGCACGGTGACAAACCTAGTATGTTATACGACTGTCCTACCCCCGTCGTAAGTATCTGTGGCTTACCTACTGGGTGACTATTAGTGAGTATGCACCTCCAAACCGCACGCGCAAAGACGCCCCCGCGCCTGCGCCTGCTCAGGCTTCCGAGCCTTCCCGATCCCAGAACATGTAATATGATATATACGTGGGATACCCACTCTATGTAGTGTGACATATGACAGTGTCTCAGTTCAGTACTTATCGTGGACGCTACGATTGGGTGATGCAGGACTTCACGAAGCGATGACGTATGCGCTAGAGTCGTCGTCGGTCGGAAAATCGAATTTTACCTATCCAGCCGTACATGCAGTGACATGCATGGTCGTATCAGACCGTCAGGATTCTGGCTGCGTTATGTGCATCGAAAACCCGATAGTATCCGGTACTTATCACCCCATATTCGCCTTACGACGGTCGCCTGCTCGCCTTGACAGGACGGACACTCAAGTACTCAAGGTAAAAGGATACTAGGACGTGTTACATACCTTCCGTGCTGAGGAAGGTTCACCGTTCTGAACGTTCAACGTCAACGTTCAACCATTGAAACGTTGACATGTAAGTAAGTCAATGGTATGTACGGCCCGGGCCTGACAGCAAACGCCATGCCGCGTCCCGACCGCGCGACGCGAATCAAGTGACCGTGATGTTCACGGCGCTACTACGACGTTGTCTCATCCCTCGTCCTCGTATTGTTGGCCTTCATCTTGTTCTCCTTGTCACTCACAATTACTCTTCAATATCCGCGACCTCAGCTTGAACAGACTCAGACTCCTTCCTCAGCCTCACCACACGTGAACCGCTCGGCCCGGGACTTCCGAACAAGGGCTCACGACTTGTGGTGAGGACTGGCACAAATGTACCTTATGTCAGCAAAGAAGCATCAGGCCGCTCGTGTGCCGGGTCCAGAGCGGCGTGTGCCAAGTGATGGCTCTGCCGAATTGAGCAAGCTTCGCGCGCCCCCGTCCCGACGCGACGCGCCCTACCATGTCTCGCTAACGGTGTCGACGTCGCGTACGCAGTCCTGGCGGATACTACCGGGATATTTTTATCTTGTTTTTATCTTGTCCTGCACCCATCTGTGCATGGTCGCACCCAACCGCCACAGTAATAACACGTCTCGGGGCACTTCATAGTCGATCTATTTAATTTGGTGTAGTCCTACAAGTCACTGGAGGTCATATAAAACACGGAAAAGGAGAAAGTGTTGAAGTTGTGGCGTAGCGGTTTAGCGTGGCCAGCCATTTTGGCGGTGCCCAGGTTCGAATCTTTTCCATGCCAATTGCTTTTTCATCGCTAACTGCCCACCGCCCACTGTCCGATGCCTTCCACTTCTGAAGTGCCACATCGCTCTTGCACCCCGTCTCGATGCACACGATGTTCGCGCTGTGTCACCTTCTGTAGAAGTACACGATAATAAATCTACCTGCTTGCGACGGCCGTGTAAAAAGAAATTGACGGAGAAGACTCGAACCCGCGCACCGTAAAAGAACCATTCACGCTAAACCACTATGCCACAACCTCAATATTTTGTACCTCTCCGTGTTTTATATGAGCTCCAATAACTTGTAAGACTACAAGAAATAGAAAAGATCTTCCTTGAAGTGCCCGAGACGTGTAATGGGCCCGGGCGCGGTGGTTGGGTGCGACCATGCACAGATGGGTGCAGGACAAGATAAAAACAAGATAAAAATATCCCGGTAGTATCCGCCAGGACTGCGTACGCGACGTCGACACCGTTAGCGAGACATGGTAGGGCGCGTCGCGTCGGGACGGGGGCGCGCGAAGCTTGCTCAATTCGGCAGAGCCATCACTTGGCACACGCCGCTCTGGACCCGGCACACGAGCGGCCTGATGCTTCTTTGCTGACATAAGGTACATTTGTGCCAGTCCTCACCACAAGTCGTGAGCCCTTGTTCGGAAGTCCCGGGCCGAGCGGTTCACGTGTGGTGAGGCTGAGGAAGGAGTCTGGAACAGACTCAGCGCACTGCTCAGTGCCAGTGTCCTGCTAGCGCAGCCTTTGCCTGCCAGGCGTACAAGGGCATGCGCATACACCGTTCCAGCGCCGGATGTCTCTTTATACCTGCAAGATTCCGCTCGAGCTAGTGGACGAGATATGCGGCCAACTTGCACCACAAACAAATTACTATCTCTACGTCAATGACGAACGGAATCGCCCTGCGAGAACTGCTCTGGCAAGGTGTGCACGGGTGTGTCGTGCGTTCCACACGTCGGCTGTGAGGGTTCTTTGGAGACGGCTGGAGCTGAGCACCATATGCGAGGCTGTCTTACGGAGCTTCAGTCTCGGCTCCGTCAAGTGGCCTACGAATGAAGAAGAATCTATGGGAGGACATGAATCAGATGACGAGGTCAACGAGGACATGGCTGTAGGCATTGATCCGTGTAGCTACGAATTCAACTATGTGAGTGATGTGCCAGCAGACTGCAATGCTATACGATCTTAAGACTCTTCACTGATGGGTGTACCAGAAATACGTCCCAGGCCCCATTTCTCCGGAGGAATGGGCTCGATTCAAGCACTATGCGCCTTTCATTCACGTCCTCCGCTACGGAACAGAGGATACAATAGAACCTTCCATCTTCCTTTTCCTTCAGCAGCACGCACATGGCCGGCCGCTCTTCCCAAATCTGCGCGAACTCATATGGGAGCATGCCACACCCGAAATAATATCGATGACTTCCCCGTCAATTCGTGTCCTGTGCCTTCCCGAAGACGAGGATATGAGGGAGAACGGTGGTCAGACGTACGAATACGCGTACCGCATGCGGCGACATGCTTTCAAGCAAATGCTTCCTGCTGTGCTGCAGGCTCTCCCCAACCTCGAAGAGCTCTACCTCCGAAAATTGGCGCACGAAGCCTTCTGGTACCCGTTATGGCGGTCGGTACCTAGCGGCTGTTTCGTTAGTCAGACAATCCGGACCCTCTGCATCTTCGAATCTCGTCGTGCCCTCACCCGGGCCGCCCTAGCTGCAATCTCCACCATCCATGGCCTCACTGCGCTCGAGATCGATATGGTCGAACGCGGCGGTACGCACGACTTTGAGGCGGACAACGAGGTGGACGTTCCGCCCATTCGTCCCTTTGAAAACCTGAGGCGTCTCCTGCTCAAAGGGAGCACGACGGGGATGGCGGTGCTCGCTCACGCGATAGCTGCGCCCGGACTGGAGGACATGGAGATGTGTTTTAGATGTTCTGACGACGATGATCCCAATGCAGCGGCAGTGGCGGTCGCGCTCCACGCGACCTTCGACGTGCTCGGTCGCCGGAATGCTGAGTCTCTACTGAGGCTTAGTGTGATCGACCCTAGCTTCTCTCAACCTCTATTCATCGGCGGGACGTCAGCTGGTACGCCTTTTCACCCGGTGGCTTGTCCGCTGCTCGCGCTTCAACGTCTCCGGGACGTCGAGATCCAGGAGGTCAACCCCGATGCATCCACATATACCAGTGTCCCTGGCTTGGTAGCGGCATGGCCCACGGTACGATCGATCGACTTGCCAGCTCTTGTTCTTACCATCGACCATCTGCGTGACATCGCGCATACATGTCCTGAGCTCGAGTGTCTGCGACTGTGGTCTCTAGACGACGTGACGGGCCTCGACCTACTCTCCCAGGCCTTCCAACAGCAGACTTCAAGTTACTCCGACACGGACAATGCGCCGGATCCGGAGGCGACAAAGTGTGCGCTTCGAGAGCTGCACGTCGACGAGCCTCTCTGCATCTCGCTCACGTCCGACATCAATATCGTTGCTCGCTTTCTCGACTCGCTATTCCCTCACCTTGACCTTGGGCGCTCTTCGCGGTTCGTTGTCTTTGACGGGGAAGGCTCGGAGGATGGCACCGAGGTCCTGAAGCAAATGACGAGGTTGCAACTCGCGCGACGGAACCATGCGTAGGGCCCGTTTGGCCATGGTGGCCGGTGTGCGCGGGTCGCGAGAGGGCCACGAACTTCATTAAGGGGACAAGTACTCGGTAGCAAGATGTGCACTTAAGTTTGCGCCTACGAAAGCATACTTGACGTACACCGCATCATACCTGTCGGGTAGATCCTTTATCATCGGCCAGTATACTGAGCAGCTTGCGTGTCGGACACTTGTCCAGCCCCTCATCATTTCGGTGCAATCGAACCAAAGATATCGATACTCACAACGATCTCTCCGCCTTGTTCAGCTAAACTCTGGATTGCAACGGTTGGCATTCTCTGATGATGTCATCTACTAGTACGGATTACGGACTACGTATATCCGAAAGCAAACTGCCCATACTTCTGGACATACGACGGGGAAGTCATTGGACTGCGACTTGTTGCGTAAGTCCGATTGTCTTGGTCCTGTTTCCGCCAACCTGCTGAATGTGAAGAGTTATTAGCCTGCGTCCTCCTCCTCTCGGAGGTCTACCATTACCAAGGTCGCAGCCTCTCAGATCATCGCGCGGACGCGTACGAGGTCTGGGACAATGCCATTATATCAGCACATCCGTACGGGCAGCCAGCGCTGTCATATAGGCGTACCGTCTTCATCCATGTTCATGGGGTCTATCAATCAGCTCGAGTCAGCAAACACGACAAGAACTATACGATAAGAATGACGAACCTGCGACTCGCTTCTCCGGGGTGACCACGGCCGCGGCGTGCGACATCGCGACGAGGAGGAGGACAGCAAGCGCAAAGAGGGAGGTGCGGGCCTGCATGGTGACGGCAGTGTACGATGTCGAACTCAGCGGGTGCGTCTGTTCGTACGAGTCCACGCGCGTCGAGGCTTACGCTTCTTATTCCAATTTCCCTCCGGCCGCACTGCGGCACACAACCATTTCGGCGCAGTCATGTGTTGCCGATAACCTCGCAGCATGACTTTCAGCTTCGCAGCGCCCGACGCCTGTCAGACTCGACGTTACCCCGATGCGCCCACACTAGTCCGCACTTCAGTCTTCCGTGCTACTTTAGTGAAGGAAGGAGGGCTTCCGGCATGCGTGCTTCCCTTTACCATGACAGCATCGCTCGCCAGAAGTCGGTTTGCCAGACTGGCGCGCCGCTGGCTCAGCCGAGTTCCCGCTATGGATCTCGGCGCAGTTATCGGTGGTACGACAGGCCTTCCCGGAGTAAACCGTGTTTCAAAAAGCCCGAATTGACACCGCACTGGCTTGTCAGACCTGTTGACTGGTAGGACGGGGCAGCATTGGCTCGTCTACAGCCGCTGCACGGCCGGTACATCCTGCTAGAGCCTACCGAGTTCCATCGAGATGCCGTGCTGCGTACTCGGCCACTCAAACAACACATACTTATGACCCCATCGTACACCTCATTTTGAACTGAAAGGAAGCGATGCCTCATACAAGCTATGTGGTCGTGTTCCTCCCATCCAACCATTGCCTATGGTCCTGCTGATTCCTTTCCACCGCATCATACACCGCACGGAAGTCGCGACACCGATACGTCCCCCTCCGGTCGACGTTCTCGGGGCTCCAAAAGTCCGCAAGGAACGTCTCGAGGTGCATGTCCCCGCGACACAGCACCATCTGGTGGATATAGTTCATGCAGTGCCGCGCACGCTCCATGTCGCGCTCCTCGAGCGGCACGCGGTACTACGCGCGGAGGACGTCGAGGCAGCGCAGCTGGTGGAACATCGAGAGCATGTACGGCTGCGGTTCGTGCCCGTCTGGGTCTGCGACGTAGACGAGGCCGTCATGGGGCACGAGTGCAGCCCACTGGAGCTCCGCGTCCAGCCCGTACCGCTGGTAGTGGTCGAACTGGAAGTGCACGGGCTTTCGCTCGACGTCCCATAGCGCGGACGTGAGTTCTGGGGGTGCTGTCAGGCGGATCTACGCGGCGATGGGGCAGGCAAGGCGTACCTTTGCGTGCGATACCGGGTTCTACGCCGGATGGGATGCGCTCGGCCCATCGCAAGTAGGTCAGTTTTCCGAGGAGGCTCGCGGCGAGCAGGGTGCACGCCGCTCAGATGGTCAGTCCCTCCAGGTTGCGCTTCATCGAGAATATCATGCCTCGCTAGGGCAATAGTATCCAGTATCCAGACAGCCTGTAAAAGGGGATGTCAACCCAGCTTACCACATGCATGACCTTTCAGGCACATTTACCCAAAGTAACAGACAGCGGATTCGTCAGACGAGGAGTGCAGAGGTTCACGGAGGACATTTGTATGATCATTTCGATTGGATGAACAATGGAGCTTTGTACTTAACTTACAAGCTTCTACACGGCTTTAATGCGTGCCTAGTCCCCGACTCCGACCGGAGGGGGCTTTGTCGACCATAAGTCGCTCGCAGCCGGCGATGCCGCTCCCTCCGTGAGAAAAACGTGACTTATAATTCCCATAAGCGGTATCGCAGCAATGCTCGAGTGTCTTACGAGGCAGCTCGAGGCAGTTGGATCCGACCGCGCATCTGGCTGCGTCTGGACGTCTGGATCTTTGACCACCAAATAACTCCTCCCGAAGGCAAGAGGGCCTCTATTATGTTGGGAGCCCTCGCATGCACTGTACTACTGTAGAATTTAATTCAATCCGGCGGTCACACGTCACAAGGCCCCTCGCCGCACCGGAAAACGGCCCTTGTCACAGGTCACGGAGGGCCCCGCCGGTCGTGACAAATGCATATATTCTTCGCCGCCTCCGGCGGCGGTCTCCAGCACGCATTTTGGCAGACTCCTTCCTCAGCCTCACCACACGTGAACCGCTCGGCCCGGGACTTCCGAACAAGGGCTCACGACTTGTGGTGAGGACTGGCACAAATGTACCTTATGTCAGCAAAGAAGCATCAGGCCGCTCGTGTGCCGGGTCCAGAGCGGCGTGTGCCAAGTGATGGCTCTGCCGAATTGAGCAAGCTTCGCGCGCCCCCGTCCCGACGCGACGCGCCCTACCATGTCTCGCTAACGGTGTCGACGTCGCGTACGCAGTCCTGGCGGATACTACCGGGATATTTTTATCTTGTTTTTATCTTGTCCTGCACCCATCTGTGCATGGTCGCACCCAACCACCGCGCCCGGGCCCATTACACGTCTCGGGCACTTCAAGGAAGATCTTTTCTATTTCTTGTAGTCTTACAAGTTATTGGAGCTCATATAAAACACGGAGAGGTACAAAATATTGAGGTTGTGGCATAGTGGTTTAGCGTGAATGGTTCTTTTACGGTGCGCGGGTTCGAGTCTTCTCCGTCAATTTCTTTTTACACGGCCGTCGCAAGCAGGTAGATTTATTATCGTGTACTTCTACAGAAGGTGACACAGCGCGAACATCGTGTGCATCGAGACGGGGTGCAAGAGCGATGTGGCACTTCAGAAGTGGAAGGCATCGGACAGTGGGCGGTGGGCAGTTAGCGATGAAAAAGCAATTGGCATGGAAAAGATTCGAACCTGGGCACCGCCAAAATGGCTGGCCACGCTAAACCGCTACGCCACAACTTCAACACTTTCTCCTTTTCCGTGTTTTATATGACCTCCAGTGACTTGTAGGACTACACCAAATTAAATAGATCGACTATGAAGTGCCCCGAGACGTGTTATTACTGTGGCGGTTGGGTGCGACCATGCACAGATGGGTGCAGGACAAGATAAAAACAAGATAAAAATATCCCGGTAGTATCCGCCAGGACTGCGTACGCGACGTCGACACCGTTAGCGAGACATGGTAGGGCGCGTCGCGTCGGGACGGGGGCGCGCGAAGCTTGCTCAATTCGGCAGAGCCATCACTTGGCACACGCCGCTCTGGACCCGGCACACGAGCGGCCTGATGCTTCTTTGCTGACATAAGGTACATTTGTGCCAGTCCTCACCACAAGTCGTGAGCCCTTGTTCGGAAGTCCCGGGCCGAGCGGTTCACGTGTGGTGAGGCTGAGGAAGGAGTCTGGCATTTTGGTGATGTTTTGAGCGCATTGACGCGCCGCCGCACCGTCTGCGCGCATGCGTCACACGTCACCATCGCCCGCGCCGCGCCGTCTTCAGGCGGCGCGGCCGTCACACGTCACAACCCGCGCCGGATTGAATTAAATTCTACAGTATATCGGGTCACGATCTCGGACAGTCTAGGTAGTCGGTCACTCGAGCCTCATTCAACAATCACCCCTTCTATAGCTATGAAATAAATTGTAGCATGTCTTAATGCATCCTTGTAATGCCTGTACAAAATTTGAGGCCAATACACTGAGATCTGTGTGCAGGAAAAATCACCCTTTGCAATGATACCTATTTCTGGTAAGCAGTGTGGCTCACCCTACTCTCGACCAGAACTTTAGCTACTGAGCTCGACTCAATGATTGTATATTTTTTCTCATATTTTTCTCGTATTTCTGAGGTCTCTTAACATACCTTCTCACAATAATTAAGGTCATTATGGCCCATACAGAGTGAGGAGGGCTTGTCGAATGCTAAGGTGGACGAGATCGTGACCCGATATAGTAGTACTTATGTATTACAGTACTTAAGTGAGTTCGCCGTGTAGCTCAGACTCGTGGAAGCCCGAGACGCCCGGGCGGCGAAGCCGCGGGCGTGAGGGCTTCCAATTATCATTGAGTCTCAATACCATTTCAATGGTACAATATCACAATACATAGTATACACTATGATGCTGCTGTGGCACGCTGAGCAGCTGTGTGCCATGCAGGAGTCGGGGATCGGCGCTTGCGCCGCTACGATAAGTACTAGATTCGGACGCAAAACACGATCACGTGCTGTTGCATTAGAGTAGCCACAACTTGGCCACACCCTTGACACGAGAACATCCGATCGACTGGGAGATACATTCCCGGAACGCGTTCCGGGAACGCGTCTGCGGAACGCCCCTCGGAACACTTGTCACAGTGACATAGGACCAAGTGTCTGTGAAAGCCACTGTGTTGAGAGGTATTCCCGCAACCAGTGGTCATTATAAGTCAACGGTAAATACAAGCTCTACAATGACCATGTAAGTTGTAGTGATGCTCAGTAATCGTTTTACACGAGATTGTATATGCTGATTCTGTCTCACAGCTATGGTAATGGTGGCCTGACGTCGGGGGTGGCACAAAATTGTGACTGCACCATCATAAAATCTCACTATTGATTCACAGAAAAGACAATTTATGCCCATGTGTAAGGGCATGCTTACTGCCACAGACAAACTGCAAGCTAGTACTAGTACTAGGGCTCAACGAGGCTCAACGTCTGCTCGACGTCCATAAGTACCTGTGGGGGCCATCACGTGATCCGATTGTGGCCATGAATTATTGCCTAATTGGGCAGATTTACCGTAAGGGACGTCACAGATTGTCACGGTGCGTGACGTTCCCCGTTCCCCGTTCCCCGTTCCCCGTTCCCCGTTCCCGGAACGTATCTCCCCGTGGATCCGACTTTCTGCTTGACGCGGACGTAGCAGTCTGGATTTGCTGCAGTCAATACCACCGTGACGATGCCACAACACATGATGCCCTCTTATCTTCCACTGGAGCTTGTGGACGAAATCTTCGAACAGCTGTCTATATATGCTCATGCTCAGGATCTCGATTTCGATGCTGTTGCCAGTCTCACCAGTCGCATTGCGCGTGCGGCTCTCGCTAGGTGTGCACCGGCGTCCCGTACCTTCCACGAGCAAGCAATTAGAATTCTCTGGAGGGAACAGCAGATGGGCCATGCTTGCGACGCTGTCCTGTCGAACTTTCATCTCGGCTCTGTCAAGTGGCCTGAGCAGGACACCTGGGGAGGACTCCGAGGACCAGAGTCTGATCTTGGCTGTCGCTTTACCTATGTGAGTGTTGTGTGATGTATCGTGGTACCATTGCTGCTCTGACCGAACGACGTGCAAAGAAATATGTCACAGGGCCCATCGCCACGGAGGAATGGTCGCGCTTCGAGTACTATGCTCAGTTCGTCACGGTCTGATAGCACCGTCTGGCGGGTTGTCCGTCGTGCGCTGCCAATTACCAGTGGGTCGTACGTAGTTGTCTCGCACGCAACGCCTGACGTACTGCGAGCCGCGCAGAACGCGGGATATCCTACAAAGCGCCTCAGGACGAGAAGTGAGCGTGTAGCGCAGCATGATGTGCGGAGGATGGTGCTTCCGAGAGTTGGAATGAGTTGAAGCGAGGAGCGACTCGGATCACGAGCGCTTTGGCAGCATCGCACAGAACGCGACACAGAGCACCGCGCTGCGCTAGGCATCGCTCCCAACAAGTCGAGGAGCACGATAGAATGCATGCGCATCGTTTGATTCCGCTTTGAAAGGGCCCGAACAGCGGAATGAGGATGGCGGCGGGCTGAGAGGAGTTGGCTGTGGGAGTTAGGGAACACGATTTCTCGATAGATGTGCGCGGTTGGACAAATAAAAGGAGAATGGACCTCTGTAAACTAAAAATCCGCAGAAAGCCTGGCGATGGGAGGACCGGCAGCCTTGTCTCGGCTGTGTGCATCGGCCCAGGGGCACGGAGGGCAGGACAGGGGTGGAAGGAAGCGACGGAGAGGGAGAGAGAAGGCGGGAACAAGGGAGGCCGCATACGGCAGAAAGAAGACAGCACAGCAGCGGCAGGATGAGAGCAGGGCGAGGACAGGCAGACAGGTCGTCGAGCGTGTCGAGCGTTGGAGTTGAGGCAACACGGCAGCCAATGAGACGTGTCGGCGACGCTGGATAGAGGTGCCGAAAGTCGCGGGTGTATGTGGTCCACGAGAAGGTGCAGCTGTGCTGCGAGAGACAAGATACAGGAGGCTAGCATATGCCAGTGTGTATCTCAGTGCAATGCGCGACATGAACACGATCAGGTGACCGTGATTTTTACGGCGCTACGACCTCCTCTCGTCATGGTCGTCGTGTTGGACTTGGACTCTGTCTTGTCCTTCTTGTCGCGTGCGATCACTCTTCAATATCTGCAACCTCACCTCAGGCTGCCTAGTGCTTGTGCGTTCAATTGGCGCGGTCCTTGACTGCCAGGCATACACTGTCTCTTCGGGCGCTCAGCCCTGACTCCACGGCCTACATCGTTTCAGCACCGCATGTCCTCCTCTCCATGCAATATTCCGCTCGAGCTAGTGGACGACATATGCGGACAACTTGCACCACAAACGGATCACCAACATCTCTACGTCAATGACGAACGGAATCGCCCTGCGAGGACTGCTCTGGCAAGGTGTGCACGGGTGTGTCGTGCGTTCCACACGTCGGCTGTGAGGGTTCTTTGGAGACGGCTGGAGCTGAGCACCATTTGCGAAGCTGTCTTACGAGACTTCAGTTCCGGCTTCGTCAAGTGGCCTACGAATGAAGAGGAATTCATGGGAGGACATGAATCAGACGACGAGGCTAACGAGGATATGGCAGTAGGCATTGATTCATATACCTACCGATATAACTACGTGAGTGATGTGCAAGCAGACTGCGACGACATATGTTCTGATCAGTGTCCCAGAAATACGTCTCAGGCCCCATTTCTGTGGAGGAATGGGCACGATTCAAGCACTATGCGCCTTTCGTACGCGTCCTCCGCTACGGAATAGGGGATACCATAGAACCATCCATTTTCCTTTTCCTTCAGCAGCATGCCCATGGCCAGCCGCTCTTTCCAAATCTGCGCGAACTTATATGGGAGCATGCCACGCCCGAAATCATATCGGTGACTTCCCCCTCGATTCGTGTCCTGCGCCTTCCCGAAGACTTGAATATGAGGGAGAACGGTCATCAGACGTACGAATACGGGTACCGCATGCGGCGACATGCTTTCAAGCAAATGCTTCCTGCCGTGCTACAGGCGCTCCCCAACCTCGAAGAGCTCGAGCTCCGAAAATTGGCACACGAAGCATTCTGGTTTCCCTTCTGGCAGTCGGTGCCTAGCGGTCGTTTCGTCAGCCAGACAATCCGGACCCTCTGCATCTCTGAATCCCGCCGAGCCCTCACCCGGGCCGCCCTAGCTGCAATCTCGACCATCCCTGGGCTCACTACGCTCGAGATCGATATGGACGAACGCGGCGGCATGCATGACCCTCAAGAGGACAACAACGTGGACATTCCGCCCATTCGTCCCTTCGACCATCTGAAGTGCCTCTTCGTCAAAGGGAGGACGGCGGGGTGGCGGTGCTTGCCGATGCAATAATTGCGCCCGGACTGGAGGACGTGGAAATATGGTTCAAGTCTCAATGGTCTACGGAGGAGGGGGGTCCCGATGTAGTGGCAGTCGCGCTCCACGCGATCTTCGACGCGCTGCGTCGCAGGAATGCTGGGTCTCTACGGAGGCTTTGTCTGATTGACCTAATCTGCTCTCAATCTCTGTTTGCCGGTGGGACAACAGCTGCTACGCCTTTCCACGCGGTGGCTTCTCCACTGCTCGCACTCCAACGTCTCCAGGACGTCGTGATCCAGGAGGAGTCCCCCAACGATATCGATGTCCCCGGCTTGGTGGCAGCATGGCCCACGGTACGATCGCTCGACTTGCCAAACCTATTCCTTACCCTCAACTCGCTGCGCGACATCGCGCGTACATGTCGTCAGCTCGAATGTCTAACAGTGTGGTCTCTGGGAGACGAGTATGGCCTTCAAGTTAACCAACTCTCCCAGGCCACTCAACAGCGCAAATCAAGTTCTTCCGACACGGACAGTGCCCCGGGTTCGGAGGCGACAGGGTGCGCGCTTCGAGAGCTGCACGTCGACGAACCACTCTTCATCGAGCACCGGTCTGACATCAATATCGTCGCTCGCTTTCTGGACTCGCTTTTCCCTCAACTTGACGTTGGGCGCTCTTCGCGGTTCGTCGTCTTCAACGGGGAAGACCCGAAGGATGACGCTGCGATCATGGAGCAAGTGACGAGGCTGCAACTGGCGCGGAAACAGCATGTGTAATCCCAGATTCGTCTACATATACCCTTGATCGAATCCACGAACATCTTCAAACCCTTCTTTCATCGCTTCTCCGGCCGTGACGCGAAAACGACACACAGGAAACCCTAGATACGAATGTTCTTGTACTGCACCCACCGTACGAGGACAATCAGCCTGAGGAGAGGAGAATTGAAACCAAACCGAATCGATGTCATAGCGGATGGCAGACATGTGTGAGTTGTGACCCGTTTGACTGACTCGTTTGACGACGACTCACGATGGTGTGGCTCTAGTGTGGATCACGCGGTCGAGCACGGCTACTGGTACAGTACGTGGGCCCCCGGCGGGCGTGCTCATGTCTCTTGTCGAGGAGCCAATGCCGACCACCAGGCGAATATGTATATGATTCCCATTGTCAGAATGCATGTCAGTTCGAAGCTGCTACATGCCGATTGCGCGTCGAACGTGGAGAAACTGAGTGCCGCACCCAACTCGCCTCGTGCTTGCCAGCAGCCAATAATCGCGATACGGGTGGGCGCGTGAATCGCACACACAATAAATGTACGTCCCGAGTCGTTCTCGGTAACATAGCTGTGTTGACCCCAAAGACTGCAGTCATCCACGTCCGTGCTTATCTTCCTACTCGCCCGTGCTCGCGCATTCTGCATAAATCTACGGCGCCGTTTTGTCCGTGACGGCAATGTCCTCGCCTGGAACTCGAACGCATCCGCGGCCAGCGAGGCGTGAGTACATACATAAGTCGAATCCGAATATCTAATTCTCCTTTACAAACAAACGCGAAGGAACATACATGCCTGTCGGACACTTGATCAAGGCTACGTCTGATTTCTACCACATGTACACCCCAGCACGAGTACTTTGGCCAGGACGCCAATCCCCGCACTATCTCCGAACCCGTCACTCGCCGTCACTCCGTGTATGCATGCGTTACTTACCGTCGAGCTGCCCCCGCGTCTTGGTTCTCGCGCTGCTGTCGCCCATCCTGCTGGCCGTACGACGTCGAGCTCCTATTGGTGGTGCTGTTCTCATTCACAGCACCCTTCCCAGCCTTGTCATGCTTTTCTTTCGCCGGTACGCTTTTCATTGCAATGTTACTGCCACTGCCACCGCCACTGCCACCGCCACCACCGCCCAGAGCGACCGTTGGACGGTCCAAGCGACCTTTTAGTCCGACCCTCATCTTAGGCCGCCCCATCGGCGGCGTCGACTATCGGGTTGAAGACGGCACGGACTACGACAGTGGGCTCGCGTTAAGATCTCTGCGGGTGGGCGTGAGGTGTCGATTCGACGTCCCAATTTCACTGCGGTCCAACAGGTGGCGACGGCGGGCTGCTATCGCAGTCCAACGATGACGACGATCAGAGTCAACTTGGATGTGTACGACGAGGCGCTCGGGACGAGGTACGCACTTTGCTAGATTGCACACTATGGGCTGGGAACAACTGACTGGGGGCCTGTTGACCAGGGACGGACGGACGATGGCATGTGGGTCGACGCACGCTCAATTTAAGTACGTCCTGAAGCCGACCGCGCGCTACTGTCCGGCGTGCTTCCCTCCCCTACCAGTGGACGCAAGAGTGGACACTGGACGCACCGGCACGCACGGCATCCGATAAGCAAGGTACACATCGCCTGAGTCGCTGGATGCGTTGCGCGACACTCCGCTTCGATGTCCAGCTCAGGCCTACCAGCCTCCGAGTAACCAAGACCGGTGCACTAAGCACTTCTGGGCCTACTAGGGTCTGGCGGCGATACGGAGTGGGCTGATGGATACATGGTGGTCAACAGCCAGCTCGCGCACAGGTTAACGCGTCTGCCGGGGACCGCGGGCCCAGGGCAGGGCTTGACTTTCAAGGGGGCTCAGCGCCCACTGGCAGGCCCAGGTTTCGTGCGCAGGAGGAGCGCTGCAGACGATCTCGAATGAGGACGACCCTGCGCAAGGACGTGATGAGAACGCAACACCGGCAGTCTGGACGTCGGTGTACTTATATGTAGCCAGAGACGCTACAAGAGTACCGTGGCACCGCGACCAACCTAATAGTACGTTATACGATTGTCCTCCCCCGTCAAAGAGGTCGGATCTGTGGCCTGCCTACTAGGTGACAATCAGTGCTGTATATGCGCCCGCACACGCGGTATCAGTCAAGCTTCCAAGCCTTCCCGATCCCAGAACATGCAATATGATATATACGTGGGATACCCACTCTAGTATGACACGAACATCGAAAGCACACGGGTGCAAAGTCAGAGGAGCGCGAACGAGCCGCTACAGATTACCTCCTACTTACTGTATATGCTACACTATATACACGCCACGCCGCAGTCCGTCTGTCGCCGAGTCGTCTCAGTCTATGAATATATGCGTGGCTACCACGACTCTCCTCCACTATCGCGTCCGAGCCGCTCGCAACCGAGGTGCAACTGGACCTCACACCCAGCTCCCGTGCACGAGCGCGTCGAACGCGCTCTTGCTCTGCAGCGTGCCGACGAGGCCGACGCGCGTCTTCGCGGAGCCGACCGCCTTGGTTGTGGGCGGCGCGGGGGACGTCGCGGGGGCGGGGACGGTCTCTGCGCGCTGCGAGGCGACGGGGACGGGGACAGGGAGCGGGACGGCTGCGGGCTCGGGGCTCGCGGGGACGGACGACTAGTGGGGCGGATCGTCAGTACCGATGGAAGGGAAGAGAGGAAAGGGGCACGCACGGATGGGGAGGACGAGGACGAGGGTGGGGACGGGACGCGGTGGTCGCGGTGGTGATGCGGGTGGGAGTGGTGGGCGGGCGTGGCGGTGCCGGAGGTGCCGCAGGCGGAGGGGGAGCGTGCGTAGGCGGGGCGTTTCTGCGGGGTCAGGGTCAGTGTGGGTGTCAGGGGACGGACGGGAAAGAAAGGCGGGGAAAGGCGGTGGCGCCACATGCACGGACGGTATGGTGGACAAAAGACGGGCGACGGGAGAACGAAACGAGGGTGCCACGACGACATGGGATGCATGAGGGCGAAGAAAGGAGACAAGATGTGTACCCCACGTGTTGGCAGGCGGCAGGCTTGGGCAGAGGAAGGGAAAGATACGCACGGGAGCGACGATGGAGCCCAGGGCGAGGCGGAGGTTGATGAGGTGAGCGTCGCGGTGCTCGTCGGGGACGGGGGCGGTCTGGGGGTCCAGCCAGTCAGCTCGGCATCGACGAACAAAGACGCTCCGTGAAACGCACCATCGTGTCAAGTCCTGTGTCTGACGGGTGGTCGTCGAGTGTGTGCGCAGCGCAACGTCCAACGGATCCGCTGAGATAGTCGCGGCACCTGGCAGTCGGCAGGCGTGTAGAGTTGGGTGGAGGGAGGAAGGAGGAGAGCAGGGGGCGCACCGGGAGGGCTAGTGCAAATTTAACCCCACGGGGGCTGGAGACGGGGAGAGATTAAGAGACAGATGGGCGACAAAAGAGTGGGCCAGTGGGAGGCGTGCAGATGACCGTGGTACCCATCCGGGCCATCCCTCCCTGGCCTCGCCCCGCCGCGGTGCTCGCAGATGACCGCGCGCGCGGACGACTCGGGAGGAGGACTGCGAGAATGGCCGACGGGGTGGGCGCACGGATAATCGTCGGGCCGTCTTTCCCCGCATCCTCGATCGGCGGTGCGGGGTAATTTTCTCAGGCGCCCACGCCCATTCCCGCACGCACAAACACCAAAAATATCCTGCTAGTTTTCTTCTTCTCCTATTGTGGTTTCCAGCAAACGAGCAATTCTGCGAGGAGCCTAAGTGTGCTTACACGGCTGCGATAATCCAGCGATTCCGTCGACTACGACTGGACCCGCTGCAATTCAAACAGACATTGCGACATTTAGGCCTCTCAGGTCTGTACCAAGCTCGATCGCTAATTCTCTGGTAGTGTAATAATGCAACTCAGCTTCAGGTACCCACCATGTGCGGCTACAAGATCCACCCAGCCTTACTTCAAGATGGACAGCCAGGCTGGAATGAACTCGCCACCCTCGCGCTTCACCCTCACTCTAATACAAGTTCTTTCACAGACGAACAAGCATACTACAATGATAACATGGGTACCGTTGAACCCTACCGACAGCCATTCCCACAATCAGGCACCTTTCTCACCGTACATCCTTCCGCTTCCTTCGCCATGCCCCCCGGCGTTGCGGGCCCCGAATGCGGTGGGAGCCTGAAAACATTAGACGTGCCCGATGATATTCATCGGGCGGTACGGTTCCTCGAGGTACTTGATCTCCTCCTCCGTAAGCTGGAGGTGCACGCCCTCTGCACGCAGAAACACGGGTCAGCACCTGCTCGTACCCGCATCAAGGACGCTATGACGTGGATTCAGATCTCACCTAGGATGTCCTTGAGGTTCGCAAGGCTCGTCGTGCCGACCACCGCTGCCGCGATGACTGCATCCCGACGTCATGTGCATCGTCGCGGCCATTCGATCAACCGCGGTTCACAGAGGTTCGATCGTCGCACAGCGCAGATCCCGGGGGAAAGACGAAGCCGGAGAAACCGCGCATGGCAAGGGTGCCCGTCGACCCGAAAGGCGACCAGGCGGAAGAAGGAGAGTAAAGGGTGTCCACGTCAATCGCCGCAAAACAGCCAGATAGGCAGCAGGACCCACCGTCCTTGGACAACGACCACGCGACCGCGACCTGCGCCATGCTCACGCCCCTCTTCTTCGCGACCTCCTCTACCCTGTCAGCACGCGCTCATCAGCCTCGTCCAAGCCTCGTTTCGTCGCTCACGCACCGATTAATGATCTCCTCGAGCCCCGACCCCGGCTCCTTCGTGTAATTCGCGAGGAACCTACGCATGGAGACGCAGTAAGTGACTGGAAGGCGCCGATCGAACGCAGGGCAGGGTGGGAGCAGGCAGTGGAAGATGCATGCTCACCAATCTCCCTCTCCGCGCTTCGTGCTCTTCGCCAGACTCTCCTTGAACGGCTTGCACAGCAGCCCCCGCGCGAGCGGGCTCCACGGGATCGCGGACACGCCGAGGAGCTACACAGGCACCACGGCGCCGACGTGCAGAACGCGTCAGTACGCAAACGGGCGAGTGAGCACCGGGGGAGGGACGCACCTTGAGCGCGGGGAACATCTCGCGCTCCTCCTCGCGGTAGATCAGGCTGTGGTGGTCCTGCATCGAGATGAAGGGTGTCAGCCCGCGGCTCAGCGCGTAGTTCTGCATCGCCTGGACTGCACGCCCATATCGCGGAAGACAGTCAGCGGGTCAGAGACGCGGCGAGCACAGTGTGTAGGTAATACCGCACATTTCCACGCCCAACACGAGCTGATCCCGATGTACCGCGCGTACCCTGCCTTGACGACGTCGTGGAGCGCCTCCATCTATGTACCAACCACCGCCCCGTCAACACACGCCCACAACCCAAGCCCTACATACCACGCGAGGCACGCACCGTCTCCTCAAACGGCGTCCCGCTCCCGACGCGGTGGATCTGCAGCACGTCGACGTACTCGAGCTGGAGGCGCGCGAGGCTCGCGCGGACCGCCGCGAAGATGTGCTTCCGCGACGCGCCCCACTGGTTCACCGTGCGCTGCTCGCGCTCCGCCTTGAGCGGGTCGAAGACCTTCTCGCCCGGGTCCGCGGTGACGACCCCGGAGAACTGCCGTGCGTGCGTCAGTGCGAGGGCATGCGTCGGTGCGAGGGGTGAGAGACGGGAGGGAGGGCGCACCTTGGTCATGACGACGATCTCCTCGCGGGGAGGCCCAGCTGCTTGATCGCCCTGCCGAGTATGACCTCCGACAGGCCGTTCGAGTACACCTGCATCCGAATCCACATACCCGCGTCAGCCTCCTCTCATCGTCTTCGTCCTGGACACACAGAGGGGAAGGGAGGGGACAAGACGCACGTTGGCCGTGTCGAACGCGTTGATGCCCGCGTCGTACGCGTACTTGATGTGCCGGATCGCCTCCTCCTCGGGGAGCAGCCAGCTCGCCCACTCGGGCGCGCCGTAGGTCATGCAACCCAAGATGACGCGCGAGACTTTGAGCCCGGACTTGCCGAGGCGCACTGCGGGCGCCCACTGAGCTGGTGAGTACATATAAAGTGGGGGACGGTGCTGACCGTAGGGAACGCGCTTCGAAGGGAGCTCGGGGACGTCTGTCGCCGTCACAGCGTTTGACATTGTTGCGCGGGTGAGTCGTTTACGGTATGCTCTGTGAAGGCTTATGGGGAATCAGGACTACTAACTCGGAGGCCTCTGTTGGTGCAGTTCTCCCACCGTGGCTGTCTTTATACCTTCATCACTATGGTCCCTCTCAGCTAGAGTCCGATAGAACCACCCACCTGTAGAGTCATTTATGCGAAGCTGAAGTCGCAAGCCAGCCAGCTCCGCGGCATCTTTCCGGTGATCAACTGCAGCTAGCCAACTTGGGAACCTCCTTGGCGGCGGGTCGGATTCCCCGGAAGCTTGAAGGGCGTCTGTGCGGAGGCAGAGGTGGATACTCGAATGCCTATAAGGATTCCTCGGTCAGGCCTTGGTCAGGCCGGACATTGGGCGAGCTAAGATCTGGATCTCGGGCGGTGTGCTGGACTACTTGAGAGGGTTTGGATCTCGGGCGGTATGAGGCTGTGCTGAACTAGGATTCTTGATGTGGGAGGAGATTGGCCCGCACAGCCTGCGTAGTCTCGACTCTGCATGTTATAGAAGAACGCACACCAGTGAGCTGAAAGTGTCCTGAAAGTAAAATACACATTATAATCGAGCAGTCTACGATGACAGAGCACTCCCCTTCCTCACTCTGCCTGCATCCGCTCTAACCATCCCTTCGCCCACTGCAACTCCTCCAGAACACGCGGGATATCCGTAGTGAACACAGGCGGGTATATCGCCAACGGCAGGAGCCTTGACACTACAGCGTACGAGACATACAACCCGCTGTGACTGATTGCGGCGCTCGTGTCTTCGCCTCGCAGTTCGTACTTCCCCCGATTGGAAAAGAGCTGCTCATCGGATTCGAACGAGCGCGACCGGTGCGTCGTATTGCGGGAGAAATAGTCGACTAGAATCTGGCAGTGCAGGATCCGCTTCTTCAGCGCGAACCGCCTCTCGACGTATTCGCCCGTGCCCCGGATCACCTCCGCCTGCGTGTACGCGAGCCTCCTATAGCGTTCGTAGACGTTGAGGTGCAGCTCCTGATTGAGAGCCATGGTACGCTCCATCAGATCGAAGACTTTGAACACGCCCAGCATGCCCGCTAGACAGAGCTGTAGCGTTAGACGCACACATCCACGACCTAGGAGGCACGTACTTTTGTCTACGCCCACTTCGACCGGAGGTTGTATGCGTCTGATCAAGGCTGGGATGTCCCAGTCTTGAGTATCGCCGGGTTCATCTGTGTGCGATTTACCCCGCTTGACCTCGAGTTGCTGTGGGGCATCTGCGTCGACATCGGCGAGCCTCCATAAGTCAGTGTCGCTCGCGATTGCGTAAGATGCACCGGATTTCTGTGGTATCAATTTCAAGATTGGACCTCAAGCCGGACTCAATTAAGCGGTACCTCGAGGATGTAATCCAGTACTGAATCGACGGGATCATAAGGCTGCAACAATCGTCATTTAGATTGTCGTCAGCAGCAATGCAGAGACGTGACTGACCTTTGTGGCTGGCGGCGTCTCGGTGATTTCAATGTCATCGTCATCGGGTACGTATAATTTGATTGGCTTTGCAGTTCTCGGGGCTCTTTGGTGATTCCAAATACTATGGTAAGGCGGAGGATCTCGTGGGATGAGCAAAGAATCATGCATATCGTCGTCTCGCAGGAGCCTCCGAGCTAGCCCTGACGGGAATGATTTATCGCTTGCATCGCTGTATTTAGGGGGTGATTGAGGCCGCGCTGCTGCTTCTATGATTTCGGGGGCGAGCAGAGGTCTTTTCTTGGATATGAAGTACCTCAGGAGCACGCATTGATCCTTGGGTCTGCCGTGATCCAAGCCTCGAGCCCCCTCGGCATCGCCTCGCTCGGAACCCGGAGGCCCTGAACGGGATTCGCCACCGTGGTCAGTAGCGTCGGAGAACGTCACGTCAAGATACGCAGACCCGACGGGGCCAACGCCACCCTGGATGTGGCAACGTTTGCTCTTCCCTTTTTCCCGAAACGCCGCGAGAGCCCAGTGAGTCGTTTTGACCCAACCCTTGACGAACATGATCCTGTTGTGTTGGAGGTCGACGCCTAGGGTTTGGGCGAATGCGACCCAGCTGTCGATGTTGGTCTTCATGTAGTCTGTCATGGCCTTCGTGTAGATGATTTCCTGGAGCTCCGCCGGTGAGCCGAGGACGAGGACTGCACCTTGACGGTCGGTGCATTCGAAAGACAGTTCAGCGGAGATGCCATGCCTGATGTCTCGCGAAGCTGAGTGAAGCGCTTGCGTTGACTCAAAAACGACACTCACCCTTGTCCGCCTGCCTCGATGTGGACGTCCTTCATGGTTCGACTGAGGAGGCGTCCAGATAAAGCATTAGAGAGGCGGAACAGCGGGTGAGTCAAAACGAGCTTCTCGAAACCGTCCGGAACGTTGGGCATGTTGTCGGGACGTTGATTGACCACATCGTCCGCGCCTCGCATGGCGTTGAAGAGGCGGACGAACGCCCCTCGGTGTAGGTACCCCACGTCACCCAGGTGAACCTTGCCAGCCTCACTTTCCTCCCGTGGCTCTGGATACCAGAGAGGATACCCCTTGCCAAGGGGAAAGAGCTGGCGTGCATAGACGTTTTCGATAGGTGTGAGCGACCTTATGTCGAGCATAGTGAGTCGTCAATTAGACCGTTGACAGCAGGATGCGAAATCGCGGATTCAGGGAACATCGTGGGTGCTCCATGTTATATAGAGCTTCGCGTACGGCACACCTATCTGACGGAACCCCAGATTGGTACAGAAGACAGAAGACAAGGGAAGACAACCAAAGGGTCCAATCAGGACTTGGTGCGCCGCAGTGTGTGGGCATCTGAGGTCTGTGGGATTCAGTAGTGTCTCATCGCACTCAATCGTGATCGATGGTACAGTACCGGGCCCGGGCGCTGGAGCAGCTACCCTAACAATTTGAGGCCGTCCAGATGTCAGTTGGACACACGAGAGGAAAACACGACCGACTGTTTGAAGGGCAACCGCGGAGACTCGGGTACTTAGCTGGCTTTTATGGGGTAGCTTCGCCTGTAACATGTAACTGCCGAGGTATGAATCCTGAAAACGAATTGCGGACTATCAGCCTCGTCATAACGGATGAGACTGCTGATACTCGAACAAGGAGCTACCTGAGTGCATAATCCCAGCTCTTTTCGCCACCACTGGTCATTCGCCAAGGCTGCTGACAGTCTATGCCATCTCAGGGTGCGATTGCATCGATGCTTGGCACAAAGGACGACGTCCAGGATGCAGAAGGAGAATGCGAATGCACGACAATGCGGGTATGCGACTGTAGGGCGTGAACTGAAACTGGTCTATAGCTACATAACCTGATCAAAGGAGCGACAAGTTCTACAACGTATGCACGTCACAGGGGGGCGAGAATAAAACAACAAAATAGGGGCGTCAGTCCGAATCGAAACAACTGGAGTGAAGGGGAATAAGTATACACGAGGCCCGCAAGCCTCAAGGGAAGGAATAATACGCGTAGTGTACGAGAAGGGCGCAATGGGGATAACGGGCGACGGTGGTGCGCTTCAGACACCAAGGCTAGCTTGGGCGGTGAGCGCGCCATTAAGGTTTGAGGGATTCGAGAATGTCCAGACGATGCAGTGAAAGGAGCCTCATGCTCATCTGCGGGCGCGGAGTCGGAGGATCGGCGTCTCGCCGACGAACAGCAGGACGAGGACGAGGGTGAGCGCGAGCACGCCGACGTCGATGTAGCAGAGGGCGTCCCAGCCGTTGCTCAAGTGGCCATAGACCTGCATACTTTGTCAGCGACAGTAAGAACTAGATGGTGCGGTGTGGATTTACCTGTCCGCCGACGACGGAGCCCGCTGCGAGGATACGTCAGTATGTTCTGAGGATGCGGCTCAGAGGCGAGGACGACACTTACCGGCGTTGGCGAGTCCGTAGACGATGTTGAAGGTGCCGTACGTGTGTGCGTCTGCAGATAGGATGCAGTGAGCTAAACAGTAGAGATGTGAGCCCATGAAACTTACAGCCTACACCCTCCATGCTACGCGTAACCGCCGCCAATTCCGTAGTGAGCGGCGAAGACGTCGCAGCGAGGAAGAAGTCTATCAAACCAAAGCCAAAATCAGCGCATATACCCACACGTCACACGCGGGGACGCACTCTCGACGGCGAACGCGACGATAAAAAACGCGAGCGAAAAGTCGAGCGTGAGCAGCCCGAACCACGGGATGCCGCACACGAAGAGGACCGTGGCGACCCACGCGGGGCCGAACTTGTCGCTCAGCTTGCCGGCGAGGGGGGATGCTACGGGCGGGTCAGCACGGGGGCAACCCGGAGAATCCAGAAGACGTACAAATGAGAGTGGGGATGAGCGAGGCGAGGTAGATGAGGCCGACCTTCGTCGAGTCGAGGTTCCAGATCGCCTGCACGCGGAGGGGCAGCGTCACGTCCAGAGCCGCGAACGCGAACCTGCCGCGCGAGAGCGGGGGCAAGGCAAGACCGTCAGCCCATGGATTCTCGCGGACGGCGCGCATTCACTCACGAGCCGGTGAACGTGCTGAAGAGCACGACGAGCGTGCGCGTCGAGGCCAGCAGCTTGTACGTGACCTGCATGAGCGAGAGCGCCTTCTTCTCCTTCGCCGCCCGCGCTTGCGCGGGGGCGGCGGGCATCTCGGACGCGCTGATCGCGACCGCCATCGCCGCCTCCGTGTCGAGCACCTTCCGCACCACATCTACTTTCTCCGCGGACTCGGAGAACATGGAATCCGGCGACATCGGCGACAGGGGCGACGTTACGGCGGGGGGCCCTGGCGCCTTCTCTGAGTCTGGCTGAGAGTGCGTCGTGGCTGTTGCGTCGGCGGGCGGCTTCTCGTGCACGAGCAGACGCGCGGTGAGGTCGAGGACGGTGAAGAGGATCGTGAAGATGAAGGGCGCGCGGTAGCCCCAGCGGGCGTAGAGCGCGCCGCCAACGGGTGGCGCGAGCAGCTGTCTGTTGTTGCGTTGACGACATGTCAGCGACGCCCCTTGCGCTGGGAAAGGAAACAACGCACCCTAAGGGAACGCCGACCATGACGAAACCCAGTTGTTCTACATGTCATGTCAGTTGTTACATCCGGCGCTTATTCATGAGGTACGTACGACCGACGTCCTTCTCCGGAGTAGCGTCGCATCTGCGAGGAATGGATTGGTGGCCAATATCATGGAGCAAACTTCGGTACGCACATGAGAGCAAAGCCCGCAACGATGATAACCGAGGATGCGAATCCCTCCAACAACCGGCCGATGCACATCATCCAGAACGCGGGCGACTCCATCAGCAGGACCTGCGACGCGACCAGGAGGAGCTGGCCGACGACGAGGACCATACGCCTCGATTGCAGGCGCTCAGAGACCATCGCTATCACCGGGGTGGCTGGGCACGGAACACTGTGAGAAGGGCGTTGATGCGTACGTAGGGCTGTCAGGGGAGACTTACCGACGACGAGGCCCGCTGACTACGTCGCATCAGTACAGGCACAGAGGGAGATTTCGGCAGACTCACGTATAAGAAGAGCAGCCATCCGACGAGCCCCGAGACATGGTTGTATTTGAGCTCCTCGAGCCTGAAAGGAAAGACGGTGATGACGATGTTGTAGTTCAGACAGTCCAGCGCAAGACCTGGTGAGTGGGCGGGCGTTAGCCATGCATTTGAGCATGCTGTAACAGAGCAACTTACCCAACGCGACCACTGCAGATGCCGTCGAACGGTGCGCACAGCCAGGCGTGTCAGTGAGACACCCATCAAGACCGCTGAATAGACTTGCCAAAAGTGACATACGCGGGCGAGGACCTCCAGCCCTGGGAGCGTACGAGGAGATCTGAGAAGGAGATCTTCATGCCAGTGGTTCTGCACGGCGCGGACGCCTTCCTGCTCGACGTCGATCGACAAACCTGGGGGCAGAGTTTGTTCTGTCGGCCGCTGGGAGGAAGATATGTGGCTCGAGGGAGCTTCTCTTGATAGAGTTGGGCCCAGTCGGGCGGGGAGGCGCAGCCGGCGCGATGGGCTGCAACAGATGGCCCCCGGCGTGGACCCTCGAGGTTCGCCGCCCTGCGCGAGGGCGATGCTTCGTCACATGCTCACGAGGCGAAGCACGCCAATGTATCAAACTTCCGGCCGTACGATGGAGCGAAGCACGCCGCAATCGCATGCACTGCGGGAAGAAGCACCTGGGGATGTCACCTTTCGCATGGTCGTCTTCTGTCCGGTACCCTGCTCTCAGGCTTACCTCTCCACGCACGGACAGCTCCGGTGCATGGGCAGACTGCTACCAGCGTATGAAGAGTGTCTGGAAAGGAGAAACAAAAACTAGCAACATACATACCAGTGGTATCGCGATACTTACATTACTCAGTAAAGCGGGCCAGCGGATCACAGAAGGAACAGAATGAAACCGTGTTCGGAACTCGGCCGGGTTGTTTAGTCAGTCAGTCCCCCGTAGTCTCACTGTTTGAGCTAGGTAGATGCAACAACCAAGAGTAGCTACAGTCTCTGTGGCTACCGTTCCGCGTACATATGTCCGCTTCAGATTGGTCGAGTAGGTGAAGGGAGAAGGGCAGGACAACAGGGGTGGCTGAGACTGGCCGAGAATCGAGATCCCGGCATAGCACGTGCACGCGTCCTTGTGGCGGCGTCGTGGCGGCGGCGGTATCGGTCGGTTCGGTCTCCTTTCGTTACCGTCACACTCAGGCCACACCATGCTGTGCCCCTGTGAGCCTGTGAGTCTGCTAAAGATCATTCTGAGGCGGCGGTGATTCTGATTTAGTAAGCAACATACGGTACGAAGTTTCTCTCACTCGATCCCATTCGAAGTTCGTTTTCACATCTCATACAACAGGCGGCGACCGCCGGTATGGAACGAACCATGCGCATTGCTCTCGCAGCGCGCCAATCCACGGACCCGTGTTCGAGCCCTAATTGACCGCCTCCACAGTGTGGGTAACTCAGCCACGAGTACTGCGTGCCAGGCTGGTTCCGTACTGGTTCAGGCTAGAAGTGGCACTCCCACAGGCGCAATTGCCGGGGGGTGTAGACATTCCCGCTATGGCACATTTGACATGAACTGACCGATCAGATACGCCGTATCTCCGCTGACAAGAGACCTGACGGGGCACTGACGAGGCCTGCTTACTGACAAGGTTCAAGACAGGTCGGTGCCAATCGCATTGCAATGGCAATTCATACAATGCATTGCCGGTCGGCCTCCCAGCATGGCGCCCAGAAGTCAGGTACATTCTGTCTGAACGACTGAATTGGAAGGCACGTACGATTACGCCGGTCAGTGGTGTGACTTTGCGTGAGCTGTCCGCCGAACTGATCAAGGAGGCCAATAACAGACCTCTTTCAGTTTCTAGGACGCGAAATCTTCCAGACGCGCCAAGCGGCCACCAACATCATGCTGGCTCAATCTTCGAAGTGTCCGTATGTTTTGGAACCAGCCACGCTGTTCGAGACAAGGTAGTGTCGCAGTCAAGCTCCAGCCGTTTCTTGAATGTCTGGCAGGCTTCTGTTGATATCTGGATGTTACGTCTGTCATCATCCCGCGTTGGTACGATCAGCCAAGATTTGACCTGGCCATAAGGTGCCTTGCGACGAACTCAGGACACTGGACAGACTACACCGGCCGTCAATGTATGTTTGTACATGACATGATCGCTGCGAAGATTTCTTCTCGTCTCGATCGCTATTTCGCGTTTTCTCTCCTCAGAGCTGCTCGGTAGCAGCGGGTTCAAGTTCAAGCTTAAATGAGCTATGATATATGACTTACCCACTGGCAGAAGCGCGGTCTGCCCGAGTCACCTCCAAGCCTCAGCATGACGGTGCTGTGTGCGATAACAAACCTGTCCATGTCAATGATCATGCCCTCGCCAGCTTTGATTGATGCGACGGAGATTCCTTGTTAGCGCGTCATCTGGCCTATCAACTTGACGTGGTGTGAGATGATCCCGGGTGAGAGCCGCCGGTGCATCTGCGCGTCTGCAGGCGCCTCGATGCTCCCGGACACGATCAAATAGGCGATCAGCCGCGAACGCGAGTCCCTCACCCCGAGCTCTCCTGCTTCTGCGTCTCTGGGACATCGTGCCGCTGACAGCGAACGCTCTGACTTCTCCTTGCACAAGATGTCTGCAGAGTTCCAGCACGGGTGGTACATTGGCAACATCGGGATCAGTATCCTCTACGGTGAGTCCAGCATCTCCGTGGTATGATCGCCAGCAGGATGATGAACGACGGTGCAGGGATCGAGCTCGTCATCTATGGCGCGTCCATGAAGGTGCTCTTCCGGCGCAAGCAGCAACAGAACAAGACGGACACGTTCTTCATGGTCTTCAGCACGGTCCTCCTACTGTGCTGCACCATCAACCTCGCGGCGAACTGTGTGTTCGGCGAGGAGTGGTGGATCGTCAACCAGAACTACCCGGGTGGATCCGAGCAGTGGTTCGCCGAGAACGCGGCGGTCTGGTACCAGACCTGGGCTTCTGCAGCGAATATACTCGTCCAACTCCTCGCAGACGCTCTCTTGGTAAGGGTCCCGCGCATGTCCAGAGGGCGGTTTCTGAAGTCATGCTGGTAGATTTATCGTTGTTTCGTCCTATGGAGTAACTTCTACATCATTGCTCTCCCCTGCCTCGTCTGGCTCGCCTCGCTCGGTGAGTGCTTCCCCAATACCTCATCCCCACCTCACTCATGCCGCACCCAGGCCTCGGGATCTCCACGCTCTACTACTCCGGTAGCCCGGGCGGGAACGACTACGCGGGGCTCGCGCAGACGACGAGCACGGCGTACCTCTCGTGCACGATGGCGATCAACATCTCGATGTCCGCGCTCATCTGCGGGCGGATCCTCTGGTTCGCGCGCACGACGGAGCGCGTGCTCATGAACGGCAGCACGCGCCAGTACTTCGGCATCGTCACGATCATCGTCGAGTCCGCGCTGCTCTACACCGTCTTCGGCATCATGTACCTCGTCACGTTCGCCGTCGGGAGCGACCTCGGCGCGCTCTTCATGAGCTTCTACGCGATGTTCACGGTGCGTGCGCTCACGTGGCTTTTGGGTCCTGCGGGTTCGCTGACGGTTTGTGGGGCAGGTCATCTCGCCACAGCTCATCATCCTCCGCGTCGTCAAGGGCTCGGCGTGGGGCCGCACGACGCACAATAACATGACGACGATCTCGTTCGCGGACCGCTCCATCAGCGGCAACGCGACCAATGGCAGCCGGACGATGAACAACAGCGACCACATCTCCATGTCTAAGACTTCGCTCCGCGACAACTCCATGCGCGAGTCAAAACTCGATTCACCGTCGGTGTACGAGGCGGTGTGAGCTTGCATCTATTGTGCTGACCCTTTGTGGAATCTTTGCCGGATCTTAAGCTGAAGAGGGACGAGACGCGTGGGGGAGGGTTGGGGGATGTAGTTGTGTACTAGTACCTCTAATTGCTGAAGCATGTCGTCAGCACGCTATTCCCATTTACTCTGATCATTATACCTTCTTTTAACCGTTGGTTCTGGGGGCGAGCTGTTGTAGTGATAGGTGTTGTGGATGTGATGCTGGATACCTGACTCCTGCTGTATGGTTTTGCTATGGAGCACGCCTTGCATATCTAATCTCACTTACCACGACGAGAGACCGGGTCTCATACCACCGACAGGAAGACAAGCGAGAATTCGAGTACACAGTGCAGACGGAGGGAAAACGACACCTTCGCTACTCATACAACGCCAAGCTAGGCATCTCCGCCGCCCTCCCCTCCCTCACCTCCTTCCACTCCACCCAATTCCTCCGCACCTCCGCCCTCACCATCTCCCAATCCACACACCGATGCTCGCCGGCCCACCGCGCCTCCGTCCAGTTCCGCGCGAGCACATCCGCAGGCTCGAGCGTCACGTCCGCGTCGCAGAGCACGTACTGGCGGATGTGGTTCAGGCAGTGCTCCGGGTGCTCTCGATGCTCGCCGTGCGCGGCGTGCGGCGCCTGCAGCGCGTCGAGGAGGTACTGCAGGCAGTGCTGCTGGTGGGTCATGCCGAGCCCGAAGATCCTCTGGCGCGGCCCGAGCCGCGGGTCGCCGTCGCCGACGGTCGAGATCCAGAGCCATTCCTCTGAGGCGTGCGGGCCGAGGAGGTCGTAGTGCGCGCTCTCCTCGACGGACATCCGTACAGCGCGCTTGGCGCCTTTGGCGGGGAAGAGGGGTGGGCGGTCGTCATCGAGGAAAGCTGAGAAAGTGTGATTAAAGAAGGCCTGTAAGAGATGGAGTGGAGTGCGAGGAGAGGCGACCTACAATATGTAGCGAGGGGACGTTCGCGACGTCTTGCTACCCGACGAGCTGCGCGCGAGAGGAGGACGTCGAGGTAGATGTTTGCGAGAGCCAGAACCACCAGGACGGTGAGCGCGAGCTGCTTGGGGGGCATTCCTGCATTCGCCTCTGTTCGGTCGAGCAGGTGCCGATATGAGCGGGGCTAGAGAACTGGCAGTCTTGTGCAATTGAACATCACATGGAACTCTTTCTGTCAGTTTCGGGCAGAATACCTGCTGGTACACTGATCTCCCGGAGGACTCGGAGAGAAACACTGTGCTTCGAACTCCGGATTGTTTCGAGAGCGTAGTGAGACCCAGGATGGCCGTGGTTCGAGAAGCGGAATAAGATTGGGAGCAGGACCCGGTCAGCCCGGATAAGGTTTTAGAACTGGCAATGTCCGCATTCGATTAACGTCCTCCATGCAGACGGGCAGCAGTTACCCCAAAGCTCGCAGTCCTCTGGCAGTGGCAGGAATGCGCATGTCTACCAATGTTATTATCTGAGCTGCTGGCCCCCCGCAAATGAGATGCCTAGTATGGTCGGCGCATTATTACGACACCGTCCGCTTCACGCGTATCGCGTCGAGATCAGGAAGCCGGGAAGTAGCACCGTGCCCATTAGCAATCCGTCATATATTCATAGCAATGGAGTTCTACTGCATACTTACGACAGTATTACGGCAGGTCGAAGCGAGCATCGCAGCGCTGCATTGCGAGCGTCGAAGTCGTCGGTCACCGTGAAGGAGTTAGGCAGGTCAGTCCATATAAGGTTACAATGTCAGGAAGCATCGCGGGACTTCTGGCTAGATCTGGGGGGAGGGATCGTGATCCAATCGGGCGGACCGGGAGAAGGCGCTCGGCGCTCATCTCGGGCGCTCCGGAGGACCGGCCGGTGATCTGTCCCGTGCCCGGGTCGTCTGTGCGGCGGCGCGCCCATATGTGGATGCTAGCTGTCTCCCTATACGATGCTATTCAACGCTTACTCGCTCTTCCACTCTGGTAGCACGTCTACCGTCTGCCGCTTCCCGACAGTCGTTCTTTCTACTACGCAGCTTCCAACGTTGGTCAACTGACGCGTCGTTCCCTGGCAACCCTCGTCACGGTCGAGCAGAAGAGAACATGACGGTGCTACTCCCGTCGAACGTCAAGATCTCGGAGGTCAAAGAACCGACCGGTCGGTGAAACCAGCGCAGCGGACGCGTCGGGGTATTTGCTGACCGACGGTTGTTGCAGAGGAGATGATCGACCAAGCGCTCAAGCTCACGAACGCGCTGCAGGAGGGAGGTGAGAGCGCGTGTGCACTCCGTCATGCGAGATGTTCACCACATGCTGTGAAATGCAGACCCGTCGTGCAAAGCGTGGACGGGCGGGAACCTCGAACTTCTACCGCTGCTCATGCGCGCGATCATCAAGGCGACTTGGCTGGGCGAGGGCGCGGGAGACACGTATGTCGCGACGGACGAGAATGGCACGCTCGTCGGGTACTCGCAGTGGATCCCATCAGGGCGGGACGTCTTCGACTCGTGAGCACCATGCGGCGCCTGTATGGTTGCGACTGCGTCTCATTGCGCGTGGTAGTGAGGACCAACGCCAGTATGGGTTCTACGAATTCATGGAGAAGATATCGGACGAGGGGAAGAAGTACTTCGAAGAGTCGGTGAGCTGTGCCCCCAGGTTCCCGGTGGACCGTCGCATGACGAACATCGCGATAGCTAGGCCGCGACTTTCCAAAATACCTCGAAAAGTCGTTCGGCGTCATCGCGCAGGTAAGCGTGCTCGCTGCCGTTATTGTTGCCTCTTTCCTGACTTCTCGTGACTGTTACTAGGATACTCACTTCTGCAACATGGTGATGGTGCAACCCGAATACCAGGGCAAGGGCATCGCGACGGCCATGTTCAAGATGGCGTACGAGAAGGTACTTTATCCCGCGAGAATCGTCTGATGTGCGGTGCTCATCGGGTTCTGAACAGGCGAAGCAGACGGGGGCAGTCGTAGCCCTCTCGACCGGGAACGAGAAGAATGTACGTCTTGACCGGCTCTCCTCCACCGCCTTCTGTCCGTCTCACGCTGGCCGCAGATCGTCGTGTACGAGCACATAGGAATGAAGTTGAAGGGCCACCAGGTGTTCCAGTCGCCCTGGGGCGAGTGGCCGAGCTGGGCGTTTGCATGGGAGACGAAGGAACAATGAGCTCGGCGGGCTGTGACGTGCATCCTTCGAGATCCGGTGTACGATATGTATACATATGAGACGCCCGTCCGTCCGACGCCCGGCCGGGCATCCCGGGAGAACCCCCTTCGGGAGACGATGCGGTCCGCGACCAGAAGCCAGCGCGGAAGAGCTCGCCGTCAGACTTCTCCCGGCGCCGGAGTGTCCATGCGTCCGAGGTCCTGCCGTGGTCTCCGAGTCCACGGACCACTGCGGGAGAATGAGGCGAGAAGCAATCTACCTCCCTCTTGCCATGATCATATCACAGAATCCGACGCTGGTGCTGAGCTGCCAGCGAAGACGAGCCTCATTCCGAGCTGAGACTGAGTAGCGAAGCGTTCAACGTTCAACGATCCAAGCTTTCGCCCGCTCGGACCATGCTTAAGCACAGTGACCGCGAGGAGCATGACGGGCTGCTCACCTCCAACGGCAGTTCGTTCGAGTTCGAGGACAATGAGTACAAAGGTGCGCGACGTTCATTGCAAGACATTGAGCAGCCTCTAACGATACATAGGTTCGTCCAAGGTGGCTGGGGCCTACAGGAGCTCCTCTAAGTTCGCGAGGCCAGTTTGGCAATACGTCCTCGCCTGCCTCCTCCTCGTCGCGCTCACCGACCTCGCCTTCCTCTCCTACATCGCGCGCATCTTCGCGACCGAGTACTTTGACGACGCCGACCTCCCGCTTGCGAACCCATACATCGGGCTGAAGGAGCTATATGACCTCGGCCGTGTCGAGCCCGACCGCCTCGACCCGCTTCTCAACAAGCCGCGCCTCGCGACGCAGGTGTTCCGCGACGAGCCGGACCGCGCGGGGACGAGGGGTGAGCATGAGGTGTGGAATGCTGCGATGGGGACGCTGTCCCCGTATGATAGACATTTGCTGGTCGACGACACGGTGCGCACAGAACTTTGTCTGTCTCAGACCCCAGGCTCATGGGAACTCAGACGCGCACAGTAGTGCAATTTCGCGCTATGGACTTTGGCATGGAGGAGTGTTCGCTCGTGCTCCGCCTACCCGGCCCCGGGGACCACTACGAGGGCAAGGACCGGCCCACAATCAGCAGCGACGCGCCCCAGCTGCAGATCTGCCCACTCGACGTCCCGCGCCTCCTCGATGTGAAGATCGTTACCTGGGACTCACGTCCCCAGTGCGCGGCGCCGCCGACGATGTTCACCGCAACGGTCGGCGCGGAGCTCGAGGTGCTCCCGCGCTTCCGGTGTGCGTGGGGGACGTATCAGTCGTTCGAGATCGCATGCGCGGACGAGAGCGCGTGCCTAGTGGACGTGTGGTCGAGCCACAACCAGACGTGGGGTACGTGCTCCTTCCGTCCGACGTCGTGCGTGTCGGATCGATGCTGATGCGGATTGACAGGAGTGTACATGTATCAGCACCAGACTATCTAGGGCATGCGAACCCGCACGCCCGGGCAGGAAGAACGGTGTGTGTGTGCGTGTGTGTACTGTACGTATACGCTATCTGTGTGATGCCTGGCAACAGCCCCGCGAGCAGTGGCGGTCACCTTCGGGCGTGCCAAGGCCCAAGCTGTGATGACAATTTTGCGAAGGAGGAAGGACCTGGGGCCGCGTGTGTGCGGTGTTATCGTTTTTGCAAGGGATAGTATACGGCGGGCACCAGGCGGGCACGAGACTCGCCTTCGATGCCTGCGCTCGGGGTGCGAGTGTGCGGTCTGGCTTTTCGAGATCGCGCTCGGGCACTGGACACGTTAACCTTCTCCACCCGGCGCGGCGTGGCACCGAAATGGAAGCTGGAAGACTGGCCGTGCTACCGATTGGCATTGAAGCTCGATGCAGTGCCTGCGTTGATGCATGCGGGATAGGCTCAAACTTACCGCGTACCGCGGCCTGTGCGACAGTGTCATGAGCGTCCACCGGCACCGCGCAGAGCGCAAGATCACATATCCAAGATTAGCCCGTTGGGCGTATCTGACCCGTAGCTGCGATAGCATCCGAGCTTCTCCTGCGCTGCGTTTCCGTACTGAGGTGTCGGCGCCCGTGCTCCTCGAGCCATCGGAAGGCTGCCAATGGAAGAACCTGTCCTATATGGAAGGTCTTCCAGAGACTTCTTGCGTTTGGGGCTCGCCCGAACTCGCTGCTCCGCATGTAAGTTACAGCACGCGTGATCCCGGCGGATACATCCCTGCGGTTTATAGTGGGTCGAAAGGGAGCGCCCAAGTGTGTCGGCTGGCCGCCACGAAGGCTGTCTGCGTCTTGCCACTCGATACTTTGGGTAAATGTGCCTGAAAGCTCGTGGGTGTGGTAAGCTGGGTTGACATCCGCTTTTACAGGCCGTCTGCGCACTATTGCCCTAGCGAGGCATGATGTTCTCGATGAAGCGCAACCTGGAGGCACTGACCATCTGGGCGGCGTGCACCCTGCTCGCCGCGAGCCTCCTCGGAAAACTGACCTACTTGCGCTGGGCGGAACGTATTCCATCCGGCGTAGAACCCGGTATCGCACGCAAAGGTACGCCTTGCCTGCCCCGTCGCCGCATAACCCCGCCTGACGGCATCCCCCAGAACTCACGTCCGCGCTATGGGACGTCGAGCGGAAGCCCGTGCACTTCCAGTTCGACCACTACCAGCGGTACGGGCTGGACGCGGAGCTCCAGTGGGCTGCACTCGTGCCCCATGACGGCCTCCTCTACGTCGCAGACCCAGACGGGCACGAACCGCAGCCGTACATGCTCTCGATGTTCCACCAGCTGCGCTGCCTCGACGTCCTCCGCGCGCAGTACCGCGTGCCGCTCGAGGAGCGCGACATGGAGCGTGCGCGGCACTGCATGAACTATATCCGCCAGATGGTGCTATGTCGCGGGGACATGCACCTCGAGACGTTCCTTGCGGACTTTTGGACCCCCGAGAACGTCGACCGGAGGGGGACGTATCGGTGTCGCGACTTCCGTGCGGTGTATGATGCAGTGGAGAGGAATCAGCAGGACCATAGGCAGCGGTCGGATGGGAGGAACACGACCACGCATCTCGTATGAGGCATCGCTTCCCTTCAGTTCAGATTGGGGTGTACAGTACGGTCATAAGTAGGTGTTGTTTGAGTGACCGACTACGCAGCACGGCATGTCGATGTTGGGCTCCAGCAGTACCGGCCGTGCAGCGATTGTTACAAGACGAGCTCATACAGTCCTATCAGTCAACAGGTCTGACAAGCCAGTGCGGTGCCAATTCGGGCTTTCTGAAACGAGGTGTACTTCGAGAAGGCCTGTCGTACCACCGATATCTGCGCCGAGATCCATAGCGGGAACTCGGCTGAGCCAGCGGCGCGCCAGTCTGGCAAATTAACTTCTGGCGAGCGATGCTGCCATGGTATGTAAAGGGAAGCACACATGCCGGAAGCCCTCCTTCCCTCACTAAAGTAGCACGGAAGTGCGGACTAGTGTGGGCGCACCGGGGTAACAGGCAGGCGTCGGGCGCTGCGAAGCTGAAAGTAGTCATGCTGCGAGGTTATCGGCGGTGCGACACATGACTGCGCCGAGATGGATGTGTGCCGCGGTACGGCCGGAGAGAATAAGAAGCGTAAGCCTCGACGCGCGTGGACCTGCACGAACAGACGCACCCGCCGAGTTCGACATCGTACACCGCCGTCATCATGCAGGCCCGCACCTCGCTCTTTGCGCTTGCTGTCCTCCTCTTCGTTGCACTGTCGCACGCTGCGGCCGTGGTCACCCCAGAGAAGCGAGTTGCAGGTCCGTCAGTCTTGTGCTACAGTTCTTAGTGCGTTCGCTGACTCGGGCTGATCGCTGATAGACCCCATGAACACGGATGAAGACGGTACGCCTGTGTAACAGCGCTGGTTGCCTGTACAGATGTGCTGATATATGTACTGGCATTGTCCCAGATCTCGTACGCGTCCGCGCGATGATCTGAGAGACTGCGACCTTGGTAATGGTAGACCTCCCAGTCGAGAACAGGAAGACGCAGGCTGACAAGCCTTCAGCTTCAGCTTCAGCAGGTTGGCGTAGACAAAGACAATCGGACTTACGCAACAAGCCGTAGTCCAATGGATTTCCCATCGACTGTCAAGAAACATGGGGGTTAGCTTTCGGATATACCTAGTCTGTAAACCGTAGATGTCCTCATCAGAGAATGCCAACCGTTGTAGTTCAGAGCAGAAGAATTTGCTGAACAACCGGAGAAGTCGTTGTGGGTACCTCTCGTCCGAGTGTGTTGAGATGAGGAGGACCTGGACAAGTGTCCGACATGCATGCTAGCGCTGCTAAGTACACTGACCGATGATGTAAGGATCTACCCGACAGGTAGGTCGTCAAATCAGTCATATAATGATTCTACGTCAGGTACTTATGCTTTCATAGACGCAAATGTACGTCTTGGTACAGTGGCGGATCCCCTTGGGCTCGTGCCCATCTCGCGAACCAGCCACCATGGCCAGACGAGCCCTACACTTGGTTCTGTCGTGCGTGTTGCAACCTCGTCACTTCCTTCATGATTGCAGCGCCGTCCTCCGGGTCGTCCCCATCAAAGACGACGGGCTGCGAAGAGCGCCCAACGTCAAGTTGAGGGAAAAGCGAGTCCAGAAAGCGAGCGATGATATTGATGTCAGACCGGTGCTCGATGTAGAGCGATCCGTCGACGTGCAACTCTCGAAGCGCACACCCTGTCGCCTCCGAATCCGGAGCACTGTCCGTGTCGGAACAACTTGAAGTGCGCTGCTGAGCGGCCTGGGAGCGTAGGTCATCTAGAGTGCCCTCCCCGTCCTCTAGAGCCCACACTTTCAGACACTCGAGCTGAGGACATGTACGCGCGATTTCACGCAGCGAGTCGAATGTAAGATATTGACATGGCAAGTCGAGAGACCGCACTGTGGGCCATGCTGCTACCAAGCCAGGGACATTGATATCAAAGGTGTCTTCCTCGATCGCGACGTCTTGGAGATGTTGAAGTGCGAGCAGCGGACCAGCAACCGGGTGGAACAGCGTAGCAGTTGTCGTCCTGCCGGTAAACAGAGGTTGAGAGAACCTGATGTCGACTAGACTAAGCTTCTGTAGAGACCCAGCATTTCGGCGACGCAGCGTGTCGAAGGTCGCGTGGAGCGCGACCGCCAATACATCGTTACCTCCTTCCTCCAGAAACCCTTTATACCATATCTCCACGTCCTCCAGTCCAGGCGCAACTATCGCGTCGGTGACCGCCGCCGCCCCCGTCGTCCACCCTTTGAGGAAGAGACGCTTCAGATTCTCCGAGGAACGAATGGGCGGAACGTCCATGACATTTCCCGCCTGAGGCATACCCAAGGCATACCCCCGCGTTCGACCATATTGATCTCGAGCGTAATTAGCGCCCATGGATGGTCGAGATTGCAGCCAGGGCGGCCCTGAGGACTCGGCGAGATTCAGAGATGCAGAGAGTCCGGATTGTCTGGCTGACGAAACGGCCGCTAGGCACCGACTGCCAGAACGGATACCAGAATGCTTCGTGCGCCAACTTTCGGAGTTCGAGCTCTTCGAGGCTGGGGAGGGCCTGCAGCACAGCAGGAAGCATTTGCTTGAAAGCGTGTCGCCGCACGCGGTACCCGTATTCGTACGTCTGTCGACCGTTCTCCATTCTATGCACGTCTTCGGGAAGGCGCAGGACACGAATTGACGGGGAAGTCACTGATAGTATCTCGGGTGTGGCATGCTCCCATATGAGCTCGTGCACATTTGAGAAGAGCGGTTGGCCATGAGCGTGCTGCTGAAGGAAAAGGAAGATGGAAGGTTCTATTGTGTCGTTTATTCCGTAGCAGAGGACGCGAACGAAAGGCGCATAGTGCTGGAATCGAGTCCATTCCTCCACAGAAATGGGGCCTGGGACGTATTTCTGGGACACTTTCAGACCATATATCATCACAGTCTGCTTCCACATCACTCACGTAGTTATATCTGTAGGTATATGGATCAATGCCTACGGCCATATCCTCGTTAACCTCGTCGTCCGATCCATAGCCTCCCATAGATTCTTCTTCATTCGTAGGCCACTTGACGGAGCCGAGACTGAAGTCTCGTAAGACAGCCTCACACATAGTGTTCAGTTCCTGCCGTCTCCACAGAACCCTCACAGCTGACGTGTGGAACGCGCGACACACCCGTGCGCACCTTGCCAGAGCAGTTCTCGCAGGGCGATCTCGTTCGGGGTAGTAAAGTTGGACTTCCGTTTGTGATGAACTTGAAAGTTGTCCGCATATTTCGTCCACTAGCTCGAGCGGAATCCTGCATGTATAAGGAGACATGCGGCGCTGAAACGGTGTACGCCCTCGTACGCTGGCAGGCAAGGGCTGCGCTACTTGAACGCAAGCAGAACACTGGGCAGTGCACTGAGTCTGTTCTTGAAGCTGAGGTCGCGGATATTGAAGAGGATAAGTATAGCTGCCAGAAAGCCTGGCAAAGCCAACACGATGAGTCTGGTCTCGAGTCTCGACGACGTCGTGGCACCGTGAAAGTTACGGTCACCTGACCGTATTCGTGTCGCGTGGAGGATGTCGTTCACCAGTGTACCATCTTCTTTGCAAGTCACTGCAACGTTCAACCACCCTCTCGGAACGTAACTATCGTTTCTTCTACCTTCAGTGTCCCTCCTGTCAAGCTTTGCGCAACTTAATCAGAGGTATATACTGCGATCGACGACGCTGATTAAGTACTTATGTCGAATGCAGAGCTCATTCTGCGGTCATGGCCGGGGAGGGCTTCATAAGTATATGGATAACGGTGCATCGTCTATCGAGTACATTGAATGTATTGTATTGACAAAAGCTACAGCCTGCGGATGCCAGTGTTCTGGATGACCGTGAAGCGGTCCTCGTACCCCGGGCCAAGCGGTCGTATTTTGAGCTCTGGAAGATACTCGTGCGCGTGAGCACTAATGACTACGGAGAAGTTGTTTGAACACGTGTCGTCGCATGCGGTACCCAAACCGTTCTCCTCTTCGCCATGGCCTTCAAAGCTTCAGGGAGGTGGAGAATGTGGATGGTCGGCGCGATGACGGACACTATACATATGATGACTCGGGCGTGGCGTACTCCCATATGAACTCACGCAGACTCGGGAAGAGCGGCCTTCCACAGGCGTGCTGCTGAAAGAAGAAGAAAACAGATGGGTCGAATATTGTCTCCTCGCCGTATCAGTCGTAAGTTAGGAAAACATGGTCGGTACTAGCAATCGGTACTTAGCGCCGCTGTGCTCGATCGGCCGGAGGACCTCAAGTTATTACTTATCCTCACCTACTCGTGTACTGTGCCCATCCGTCTCCCTACGACAAGTATGCATGGATATGTGGGTCATATGTGTGTAGCAACCTCCGTGAATAAGAACAGGCAGAACGGTACACACTCCATGAACGTGCTATCGACTATCGACTGGGAAGCTGTCGTACAGTACACAGCACCCGTGTCAAAAAACGGAGACGACGTGAATGGTAGACCATTACTATCCTTTTACGAATACGGCACCGTGTCCGCTTTGAGCAAACTACGAAGAGCAGGAGGCACAGATCAAGAATACTAGCATCACGTACGACTTGAAATCCTCACCACCTCCAGCAGAACGGGTATCCAATTTTCCTGATTCCTGAATACGTAGGTGTCCTGAGTCACACACAGCTCGAGGCGAAGTCGAGGGAAGAGCTCGTCCAGGAAGTATGCGATCTTCGTGATGTCCGCAGGATCATCTACTTTGGTGGCGTTGAAGAGGCGTAACTGACGAAGCCCATGTCCTGTAGACTCGGACACTGCGCGACGGGAACCGCCGAGCTGGTCAGACGCCGCCGGCAGCTTCAGGAAGTCATCCGACAGGCACTTGCCAATCAGACACTTCAGCTGAGGGCAAGCGTGCACGACCGCCCGAAGCGCGTCGGGTGTGAAGATGGCCACTTCCACGATGAGGGTCTCCAGCATTGGCCACGCCGCCAACATAGAAGGCAGAGGTACGTCTATGGGACCACGGTGTTCGCCAGGGTAGATGTAGATATTGAGCTCCCGGAGCTGATGAAGCTGGAGCAACGGCTTCGTCAGAGTGAGGAAGATCGGTTCCGTCTCCGGTGGGATTCCCCGATCCGGATACCACTTGGGTACGTAAAAGTATTGCAAGCCGAGGTACACCTTCCGCAGAGACGACGCGTTCCGGTTACACAGAGGCTCCAAGGCTTCCGGGAGCGAAAAGGGGTATTGGCAAGGATCACTCTCGGGATCACGCTTCACTTCGACATCCTTGAGATTGGGTGCGACGATAGCGTCGAGGATGACTGCAGACTGTCCCATGTTCGCCTCAATCTGCAAGCGCCGTAGTCTTGCAAATGTGCGGATACGCGTCTTGTCCCAGCCTTCAAGCGTCCCGTTGTCACCCGAACGGCTCGAGAGCACGACTTCAATCCTCAGCTCGGTAAGTGCCTGAATCGTCGACACAGCCGCAAGGGCACCTTTCATCAAAGCGCTATACGGCTCCGATATATGCAGCACGGAAATATTTTGAGCGACGAACTGGAATTCCGGACCTGGCGCGAATGTATGCCAGAAGCCCTCATGCCCGAGACGCCGTAGCTTCAGTGTATGCAAGTCTGGAAGACTGCGAAGGACGTCAGGGAGCTGCGCCTTGAACTCGGGGTGTTGCGTGCGATAATCAAGCACCTCTTCTCGCTGAGTGTCCTCCTCCTCCGGAAATAAGAGGACGCGAATGGTTGGCGAAATGACAGAGGCAAGGTCAGGGATAGCGTGGCACCATACGACTTTGCGTAGATTAGGAAAGAGCGGCTGGCCGCGCGTGTGCTGGTGGAGATGGAAGGAAGTGCTTGAATAGAGCTTCTCTTCACGCGTGTAATAGATAATGTGGATGAACCGCGCGTAGTACTGGAACCGCGACCACTCCTCTGACGAGATGGGACCTGGTAGATAGTGCTGCGCACGTCGCTCTGTAAGTTGCATCACTACCGTCAAAGGTGACTGCAGACTCACGTAAGTAGAGTTGGAGCCCTGGTTATTGTCCGAGGCAATACCTCCGCGCCGACTATTGTCAGCCTTAGCATCGCCACCACTGCCCATGCTTTCTCCATCCTTGTGGCCCCTGGCCTTGGTAAATCTCAGCAGGAGGCGATACACATCGGTCAGATACTGTTCTTTCCACAGAACCTCCAGCGCTGGCGTCTGAAAAGCACGGCATGCTTGGGCACATCTAGCAAGGGCTGCAGCCCGGGTGATAGCTATGAGCAAGTCCTCGTCGAGGCTGGAGGCTGAAGCAGATTTGTAGGGAGATAGCAGGTGAAATATCTCGGATACAACATCGAGAGGAAGAGTCGGAGCAGCTACGTTTAGTGCCATGTTGTGTCGTCGATAGATGCAAGCTGGGGAGGTGCGCTACTGGTGAAGTTCAAGTTGACCGCTACAATTTGAACGAGCACGTGGTTCAATTTACGTACGAGGCAGACGGTGACCTTGCGAAAACTACTCACAACAAATACACGACTAGCGATAGATCTAAGAAAACCGTTAACAGCATCAATGACTCTGAGTGTGGACCTCGCTAATTGCAGGAGTCCACGGTGCTGAGTATGGCGCGTCTGACTCTTGTGCACCGTCGCACAACACGGTCACCTGATCGCGTTATTGCCGGTGTCGCTGCAATGCTCAAGATGTGCTGCGACAATCGGCCCGGGAGTGTGCCAGCTGCATGCATTATTTTGATTCTGTGCCTCACCTGGCGAGTTGCAAACTGTTCAGCCTTGTACACGGATTCTACTCACATTGCCCGCGGTCTTGACAGCATCGGAAGCACCATACTAAGCAACTGGTGTAGATACGTGCTAGTACTTGGCCGCCCGACAAAGAAGTCACCACAATATCATTTACCGACTGCGTTGACGTACTAGCGCAACGCCTCGGACACTAGCACGCTACACGACCTGTCCATCCTATATGAAAGTGTCCTCTCAGCTGACCTTCGATAATGAACTTGACCGCTTTCGAAGTGCTCACCATGTGCCCAAGTCCACGGTGCCTCGTCCATTCCCATTGCTTGCTTTTCCAAGCAGTTCATCCGCCTCGGCCCGTTGGATCATATTTTACCAAATCTTCAGGCCGTCGAATGACAAGCTGCGGGAACAGCGTGTTCAGGAAGCGGATGATGTTGCCGGGCGTGTCAGGAAACCCGGCCTTAAGGGGTATATCGACGCACAACTCTCGAAGCGCAGGTCTCTCTAAGTCCGAGTGGGAGTCTGCAGTGATGGTGGGTTGAGATGAGTCGTCTACGACCAACCGGGAAGGGTTGTAGTGGAACTCGGGTGATAGGGCCTTCACCTTCAGCTGCTCCAGCCGAGGACATGTCCGTGCGATGGCTCGAAGCGCATTGGGGGAGACGATGACTTCTGGCAAGGCGAGGGCACGCAGCGCAGGCCACGCTGCTGCCAAGGCAGAGGCGCTCACGTTTAAAGCTCCGCGCCTGACACGTTGATCAATACAGACATCCTGGAGACGGCGAAGCTCGAGCAGTGGACGCGCGACGGTGGAGAAGGACGGATCGGTTGACACTTCGCTGGGGAACAGGGGTGCGCAGAGGCACCATATGCTGAGACGCAGTCTCCGCAGAGTTGCCGCATTCCGGAGGGGCAGGGTTTTGAAGATCGTGGACAGCTCAGCCTCCACCATGGAGGGATCACTGTCCTCTGGCCCTGTGAAGATTATAATTTCCACATCCTCCAGGTTCGGTGCAACAATCGCGTCGACGAGGGTTGCCACCCCAGTCGCTTCTCCCCAGATTTCTAGGTGTTTCAGATTCTCGAATGTTCGCACGTCCGAAAGGTCGTCATCCTCGAGATCGTACGTAGGACCCGATTCGACGAGGCGGATCCCGAGCTCGAGGAGTTCCTTCATTGTAGAGATGACAGTAAGGGCGGCTCGCATGACGGCACGACACGACTCGGAGATGTGGAGGACTCGGATGTTTCTATTGAAGAACCAGTCTCCGGGTGCTGGTTGGAGGGGAAACCAGAAGACCTCGTGTCCCATCGTTCGTAGCCGGAGTTCTTCAAGGTTCGGGGCACCTCGTAGAATGGTCGGCAGGAGTGCCTTCAAGGCGTGTCGCCGCGCGCGATACGAGAATTCGCGCATCTCGGCATAGGTGTAGTCGTCGTCGTTGCTTTCTGTAAGGTCCAGTAGGCGAATGGATGGTGAAATTACTGCCAAGACCTCGGGCGTCGCGTTACTCCATACAAGCTCGTGCAAGTTCGGAAATAGCGGCGTCCCCTGCGCATGCTGCTGCAGGAAAAAGAAAAGAGTCGGGTCGATGCTCTCCACAAATGGGGCATAGCGGAGGATGCGGACAAAGGCGGCATAGTGCGTGAATCGTGCCCATTCTTCAGCAGAGATAGGCCCAGGTAAGTATTTCTTGTATATCAGTCAGTCAGAGCATCGCGATCCACTGGTTCAGAGCTCACATAGCTGTACAAATACCTTTCCGGCTCAACGCCCACAGCTACGTCTTCATTATCCTCATCGTCCGAGGCATCTCCCCCTCCCCAGTCGTCCTGGTGCCTCTCAGGCCACTTGACGGCGCCATAATCGAGGCTCCGTAAGACGGCTTCGAGAAAGGCACCCAATTCCAAATCTTTCCAAAGAACCCTTACGGCCGATTCGTGGAACGCGCGACACACGTGTGCACATCTTGCCAGAGCAACACGATTCCAATGAGCTTCGTCTTTGTTAATTTTGTGGTGTTTGAAAAGATGGCGTGTTTGGGGTGGTAGCTTTTGAAATATTTCATCCACCAGCTCGAGGGGAATCCTGCAGGCTTGGGGCTGAGGCATATCGTACTCGTAACGCGTAATCCAGCGGTTTACAGCACCTGAGTATCATTCCAGGAATGTTTCAGAGGAAGCTGAAGCAAATTGATGATTGAAGTACTCACCGTGGTCTCTTCGAGTCGCATTGGAGGTAGCGGTAGTCACGGTGAGCGGACTTCAATGACTCATGAACAGAGTTTGTGGGCTTATTGACATGCGAGAATGCAGAGTTATATATGGACAGTGAGACGTCGCAGGTACTGCCAAGCTGGTCGTTGAAGCTTTGAAGCTAGCTTGAAGACCGCTAGGGCAACGCTGCACGCAGCATCGTGACCATCACATGATCGTGTTTCCGTTACGCGTTCCCCCTCCTCATACGACCGCCCTCCCCACTCAACAAGGTCGTGTTTAGGGTCTGCCTACGGGAGACTACCCCTCCTCGTCCTCGCGCGTTGCTTCGACTACGGTACGTACCTCTATGGATGTTCTCTCAGAGCGTATCTGCGCCTACATATCCCGCGAGTGGCCATTCGCCACCTCTATCGCGTCTCATTGGCTGCCGTGTCGTCTCAATTCCAACACTCGACCGCTCGACGACCTCTGTCTGCCTGTCCTCGCTCTGTTCTCGCCCGGCCGCTGCTATGCTGTCCCTTCCCTGCCGTATGCGTGCCCCTTGTCGTTCGCTGTCTCTCTTCTTCTCCCGTTCCTTCACTGGCAGTCTACCCCCGTCCTGCCCCCCGGTGCCCATGGGCCAATGTGCGCAGCCGAGAAACGTTTACCAGTCCTCCCAACGCCAGGCTTTCTACAGATTCTTTGGTTCACAGAGGTCCGTTTTCCTTTTGTTCCTTCCACCGCGCGCATCTATCGAGAAATCATGTCTCCTAACGTCCCACTCCTCTCAGCCCTCCGCCGTCCTCATTCCGCCATTCGTACCCTTCCAAAGCGGTATCAAATTTTGTCGTGCTCTCTGACTCGTTGGGAGTGATGCCTGGCGCAGCGCGATGCTCTCTGTCGTGTTCTGTGCGATCCTCGCTCCCCGCCTCAAACCCCAGAAGCAACCCCACTCCGCGCGTCATGCTGCGCTGCACGCTCGCCTCTCATCCTGAGACGTTTTTTCAGACATCCGGCGTTCCGCGCGGCTCGCGGTACGTCCGGCATCGCATGCGGGACAACCACGTACGGCCCAATTGACAGCACACAACGGACAGCCCCCCAGACGATGCTACAGACTACCACATACGTCGCAAGCGCTCTCCGTGCCTCGTAGTACACATAGGAACCCATCACCACAGGTGCGCCCAACTTCAGTCACTTGGAAACACACGCCAGATGGTGTTGCGCAGAAGATTCTCGACGAACGCGTACGATCTTACAGACGCTCTCCCAACCTGCAGCTGTCTGCAGGGCCTATACGCACTCGCCTACAACGTCTGGCGCGGACATTGGTCGCTGAACGTGACACATTCGACACCGACGCCCAACCCCATCGTCTCCCCTCACCCGCAGCGACCGCACACGCAAGCGTAAAGTGTGCTCTCCCGCACAAGCCCGCGTCGCAGGCCCAGTCGCTCGTTTCCCTCAACCGTCGACGCAGCCCGGCAAGGCAGGGCGGCCAGGAAGATCCCTGGTAAGCAAGTTTCGACACCAGCAGGCTCCAAGGTCAAAGTCAGCCGAACGGGACCTCGCCTGCTCACGCCGACGATGTTGGTGCACGTCGCACCCGAGCCCGTGTGCAAGACGCGGTAAGTGCTCCACCATCTATGTATGATCTGACGCGATGAAGAGCGCGACTCACCGATGCCTCGTCGCCCCCCCCCCCCCCCCCCCAGCCCTTGCTTTTATGCTTCGCCTGCTCGGTGTGCTCGTCAGCGCGAAGCCAGTCGCCCCCAGTCGCCGTCGCCTTTTCGAGCACCGCGCGCGAATACGAGGATGGCAGCTCTTGTCGGTATTTCAGACACAGACGCACGCACGCTGCACGGACGGACACCGATGGGGCACACACGGTGGCGCAGCAAGATGCATCGTTCTTCAAGTTCGGGAGTGCGTGCACGTTAATTGGAGAAGGTTCGTCTTCGGCGATTCATCCTGTATGGTGGACGTTACGCGGCTACCTCGGACGTCGTGCTACGTGGAACGAGGCTCCCGCGTACGCTCACCGAGCAGGGGGACGGTGACGACGCGCGATTGCCTGGCGAGGCTCCTTCAACTCTCATGTAGGCAAGGTCGACGGCGGATGTGGTACGCCTTGGACGAAAAGTAGTTGTGACGAGCTGTGCTTCTGGTCAGTCGGTAGAGGCCTTGTGCGAGAGGGTGCGTACGTCCTTCCATTCACCGATACTCTGACACGGTCGTCCCGTTTAGCCAACCGGCGAGGGAGGGACACGCATTCAATCACGCGAAAACTCCATCTCACCACCTACTTTGCGGAATGTCGACCCAAGCCAACCGACCCAGGAGTTGCCTTACCGACGAAGCCGTGTTCTGCACTCGGGATGGCCTCTGCAGGCTTCAAAGAGTACGCCTTGACCGTGACAAGTCATTTAATGGAGGCATCGTAAGGAAAAGTGCGCACGTCTTCCATTTGCCAATATTCTCACAAGTTCGTTCTAATAGATCAGCCGGCGAGGGAGGTACTCGCGTCCAATGCGCGCCACTGGCGTCTGCCTTGACAGCCGAGCTCTGGCCACCTTCCCCTGTTGAATGTCGAATCCTCCGGATGACCGCGCACACGGGGCTCCCTTGTCAGCGGAGCGCACTCGAAACGGTCTTCGTACAACGTCCCTGGATTGCGGTCGATGTCCAATGCTCAGGACGAGGACATACTGGGAGGTGAGTGCTCCCGCAACAAGCGTGGTACTGACGTTGCTGTGGATTTGTTCTTCTCGTCGAATGACTGAATGCGTGGCGAGGCTACGCGGGACGGTATAACCAGGACGCGAGCTAGGGCACCGGTAGTCTGGAGCGTGGAGCACCCGAACAGCTCTGCAGATCGGTAGCCTCCGACGGCACGTCGGGAGTTCGTGCTCGGGCGGGCGGGGACGCGGCGACGGTCTAGTCATGCCCCACTGTTTGCGTATCGGCGTGATACTTCTCGCAGCGTAGGCGACTGGTGCCGTGACGGAAGACGAGTGTGCTGCGCGCGTTGGACTGTCCCGTGTAGGTACAAAAACATATACATAACATCTCGAGCAATAGATATGTTCAGTCTTGTTCTACACCTGATATCTACATACGTGGAGTGCGAGGTATCGAAGAGCCCGTCGCAGGCTTCGCCTGCGATGTCTACACACACGCCAGATGGTCAAGTTTGCTATGAAATGGAAGATGAGGACGTGTACGGCCACGTCCAGACGACGCACACATCAACGTTCCAGCGAACCTTGCGAGGTCTTCACTTCAACCGGCCATGACCGCCGCCATCCGACAACGTGCGAACCGCTGGGAACATCATGTACGCCTCCCGTCGAGCTATCGAACCCGTTCGGCCTGAGAGTATCCGCAAATAATCAGTCCACCGGCACTTAACTAGCACGCAACAGCTCGCGTACCATGAGAGATGACGTACCTGCAGCTGCTGAGACTCGGCGACACTCGAGTGACCGCAAACTATGTATTGACGCGACTTTGAACCTCATTGAGCCGCGTTTCAGAAACTACATGGAAGGCTTGGGCATGGCATACATCCACGAGGAAGCCCTATTGTCGCGACAAGGTCAGAGAAGGAACCATGGGTGTTTCGCTCGACAATCGAACTGGGAAATGCGCCGACAAAGATTGGATCATCTCCACGACCGATCGTCGATTTAAACCTATTTAGGATGACATCGCACTGGCTTGGAATTGTCAAGGGTTAGCGGAGGGCGATATTGTACAGCCCAGAGGGAAGGTCTTCTCCAAGTATCGCACCGCCCACTCGCCCCGAACCTTGTACACACGCGTACAATAGTGCCCATGTAACTTGTCTTCGCCGAATGCGGGCCCGAATTATGGAGTGTTCAGTCAGGAGCATTGATGCTCGCCAGCATCGTGACTTGCGTTTTACCAGGAAAACGAAGTCCTGCAGGATATGTACCCCATCAGAGTTAAATCTGCCGTCCATTGAAGCATCTACACTACGGGTTGTCAAGGTAAGCACATATCTATGGTGTAGTATGTAGGAAAAAGAGCTACCTACGAACACTCATGGCGGCACTGAACAGCACTCATGCTGGATCAAAATATCGCGCTTAGCTCGACAGTTTGACAACACGCTAAGCGATCTACACACCATTCCGTCGTGCCAGCTGTAACTTTTCCACTTCATCCATGATGTTGAGCCAGCTTTTCTGACCTTCGAAAAGAGGGGTGTTCTTCCCGGAGCACCGCTCAGGGATGAGCTCGGGATAGAGCAAGTCCAGGAGGCGTGCAATACTGCTGATGGTATCAGGTTCCATGGTCTTCAAGGTCCACGGATGGGAAATGCGTAGCACTTGAAGCGCAGACCTGTTCGCGCCCCGGTTCACAGGACCCAGGTCGGAGGGACTGCTGTCTAGCAGTCCCGCGATGTCGGACGAGTGCCATATGATAGTCTTGACTGTCAGGCTTTCGAGCTTAGGGCACGTACGCGAGACGAGTTGCAGAGATTCGAGGTTGATGAGGACGTTCGGTAAGGCGAGGCTCCGTAACATGGGCCAAGCCGCCACTAAGGCAGGGACATTGACACGCGAGTACCCGACAGTCAGCTCGTACTGGTGTATCTGGAGGTCCTGGAGATGACGGAGCTCGAGCAATGGACTTGCAAGAACATTGAGAGGTGGCGTGTCAGGCGCTGTGTCTCCGAGAAAAAGGGGCTCGTCGAACTGACGCAGGGCAAGGTGGAGCTTTTGCAGGGACGCTGCGTTCCGGCGACGCAGTTGGCCGAAGATCGTGGACAGCGCGTTCTCCACCATGGGGATACGTCCTCTTTCTGGATCCGATTGCCAGCCCCCGCAAGTTAGCTCGATGACCTCTAGTCCAGGCGCGGCGATCGCAGCGAAGACGGCAGCTACTCCTGTCGTCCGCCCCTCGATCTGTAGGTGCTTCAGATTTGCAAACGCACGGACAGGAGGCATGCCCTTGTCATGGTCCGCCGCAGGATCGTGTACACCACCTCTTTCATCCAGGTCAATCTTGAGCTCGGCGAGTCCCTCAATCGTGGACAGCGCTGCGAGAGCCACTCTCATGAGGGCGCGACGCGACTCGCGTATACGGAGAGTGCGGAGCGTTTGAATGACGAAGCGACCATGTGGTGTCGATATGAATGGAAACCAGAAGGCTTCATGACCGAATGCCCGTAATTCGAGCTCTTCCAGTTCTGGAAGACGCTCGAGGATGCTGGGGAGAAGTTGTTTGAACGTGTGTCGTCGCATGCGGTACCCAAACTCGCGCAACTGAGAGCCGTTCTCCTCTTCGCCATGGTCTTCAGGGAGACGAAGGATGCTGATGGTCGGCGTGATGACGGACGCTACCTCAGGCGTGGCGTGTTCCCATACGAGCTCGCGCAGATTGAGGAAAAGCGGCTTGCCACGGGCATGCTGCTGGAGGTAAAAGAAGACAGAGGGGTCGATCGTCTCCTCGTTCAAGTAGCGGAGCACACGGACGAACTGGGCATAGTACTCGAAGCGCGACCATTCCTCCGTGGTGATGGGCCCTGAGACGTATTTCTTTGCACGTCGTTCGGTCAGAAGAGCAATATTACCAAAAGACATAACCCGAGACTCACATAGGTAAATGGATAGTCATAGGGATCGATCCCCACCGCCATATCATCGTTCGCCTCATCATCGGACTCTGGTCCTCCTCCCCAGGTGCCTTCGTCCTGCTCAGGCCACTTGACAGAGCCGAAATCAAAGTTCGACAGGACAGCGTCGCAGGCGTGGCCCATCTGCTGTTCCCTCCAGAGAATCCTGATCGCTTGCTCGTGGAAGCTACGGGACGCCCGTGCACACCTAGCGAGAGCCGTACGCGCAATGCGACTGTCTTCGAGACTGATGTCACCATCTTCCAGATCCTGAGCATGAGCGTGTGTCGCCAGCTGTTCAAGTATCACGCCCAAAAGCTCCAGCGGAAGCCGACTCGGAGCGGACGGTGGCATCGCGCGGTGTAAACAAGTTGTAGTCTGTGCGGTTCGTGGCCGAAGATAGTGAGCGACGAAGTTACAGAGCTGTTACAATGGACGAGACACGCGCTGCAGGGCTATCACTTGGTGTAGTCTCTTGGCAGTGTGCCAAGTATTGCCGTCCGTGTAGACAGCGAGGAGGAGACACGGTCAGTAGCGCCCGTGCCGTCCTCACCTGATTGTGTTTCGCGCGTCTTGCCACACTCAGCGTGCATGCTCTCTTGTGAGTCTTGTCCGACGTCCAGCACCGTCCACCCTCGCCGCCTCTGGCCGCCCTCTGGCCGTCCCTTGTCTCTCCTTGCCTCTACCTGTTCTCGTCCCTTCTGCCTCTCCCCGTCCCTTTAGCCTGCACATCCCGCCCCCGCCGCCTGATGCGCTTCACCGAGGCGAATCGTTCGACACCCCGAACGCCATGTTGTGTGCGGTCTTCCGGCTCAGAGGTCAGTCTTTCCTTTCCTTGTCTGATTGCTCCCATTTGTCTTCCTCACCCAACTCGCCTCCTCGCAGCCTCATTGCGCACGCGCCCTTGATAGCGTGCCTTCACGTCCCATACCGCTGCCAGTCACTGTCTCGCGCGGAACGGTGCGCTGCTTCCCGTTCTGCGTGACACCGCCTGGTGCGTGCTCCCCCTCGCTCTCCTCGCTACCCGCAGCCGTCACGCAGGCTATCCAACGTCTGAGAAGACATTGCCTACGGCATCTCATGCACGTCGCGGTGGACTTGGCCCACAGCCCTCGCTGGACGACGCCGCGCCCGCGCCTCACCCAAACACGGAGCGCGCCCGCAAGTCGACGTGACCACGTCTTCGGATAGTGCGTGTCTCGCGTTCGTACTACCCCGCGTCTGCGCTCACGGCGTAGACCGGATGATGAACCGTCATTTCGGCATCCCTACGTCCGACAATCCCGCCCAGGGGCGCTCCCCGCTCGCTCTCCTCGCTACCCGCAGCTTTCGCGCTGGGCTATGCAACGTCGGAGAAGATGTTGCTTACGACATCTCCCGCACGTCGCGCTGGACTTGGCCCACATCCCTCGCTGAAGGACGCTGCGCTCATGCCTCACTTCCGCCCACCCCGACACAGAGCGCGCCCGCAAGTCGAGGTGACCGCGTCTGCGAATGGTACGTGTCTCGCGTTCGTGCTGCTCCCCGTCGAGGTCAGATGATATTGTGCTGAACCGTTGTCTCGGCAGCACTACGTACGACAATTCACCATGTCTACACACTCCCCTGGCCACATCACTTAGTTACGGTTCGTCACGCCTCGCCCGAAACAAACGAACACAACCGGGGTACATCGCGGGCGGCGCGCTCGAAGATGCGTTCCATGTCATTATCTGTCTACAATTTCCCGCAAACCTCACCTCACGCAGTCTTCCCGCTGAGGTCTCTCGGCCGCGTACGTCCCTCGCAGCGCGCGTCGTCGTACAAACGCGACGCACGGGCGCAGCTGAGTCCATACCTGCTCGCATCGCGGCACCCAACCGAGTCTTCCCCGTGGAACAAGGCACGTCCGTGGAACGGCTCTCGCAGTCGTTCAAGACCTGCGGCGAGACACCCGTCGTCAGCGAGCTCAAGCACCGACATCAATAGGCGCTCACCGTCGCGCGTACCGACTCCACGCCGTGTCCGACCACTCGCGCACACGCCCTGGCCGAACAGAGGCGACGGGACGGCTGCGTCTTCGGCAAGACGGTTAGCACATCCTTGTCCGATGCGGCTCAGAAACGCGACTCACCGATGCCCCTCTACAGCCCCACATCTGTACCCACCCGCCGAGGCACTCGTCAGCGCGTCCAGTCGCCGTCGCTTCCGCGATGTGGTGATCACAGGTCGCGGACGGTTGTGTGTGCTGGCGGAGTTGTGGGGCGGCCCTCGGACGTTCGTTTGGCTCAGCACCTCCCGCTGCTGCGACTCTTCGGAGTAGGGCTCCAGTCGCAGGGGCCCCAGGCTGCACGTCTCACGACGGCCACACTGAGCGACCGACGCGGTACTTACGCACAGCGCGTCCCAGACGTCCCGGGTTGTCAGAAGTGCGATCGGACGGGCTGCAGCATCGTACGAGGTGGCGCAGACGTCCTTCCCCGACTCGTCAGATGCTGCCTGGCGGTACTCACAGGACCACCCCTGACCTGGTGCGCAAGCGAACGCCTTTGTCGCCGCCGTTTCCCTCCTCGCAGCAGACACTGCCATCAGCACTTGCCCCCAGCCCGCTCGTCGACAAGGCCGTCTCCCGCGCGCGTCCACAGCCGTGAGCGTCCCCGGCCGCGGGTGTCCAGTCGTGACGGGGCGGCGAGGTGAGTGCTGTCGCGCTGGTCGCGGTACTACTGTCTCTTTCTCTGGGCAGGGCTGTCGCGAAATCGTTGGGAACGGCGCGGGCAGGACGCGAGGCGGGTGCTGCGATTTGGGACGATGGTGGGGCGTATACACAAGAGGTGTGACCTCATGGGCCCGCATCCTCGCCGTCTGCCGCCGCGTGGGGGCTCCATCGAGCACGGTAGCATGGGCGGGAACGCGGCGCTGTCGGCGGCGGTACCTGCGTGCAGCGACCACGCAGATATGTGTGCCCGACGGCCCCGTGCAATGTAGGTACAGAGAGCATGTACATAGTCGCGATGGATAGATTTATCGGAGGTCTCTACTACACGCGTTTGGAACGCGAGAGAGCCTTCGGGATGCAGATACATCCCTGCCTGCATCCGGGCGTGGTGAGTACACGTCTGTCCGACAAGAACATATCATCTTCGATATTTCAAGCAGGAGTCTATACTACGAAATATTACACGGTACGGGGTACTAGGCTTGCGCGTGCAGAGCGGGGGGGGGGTCGGTAGTAGACTCCGAATCGATTAGCCTTGCTGCGAAACAAAATAGGTCAGCCCGACGGCGAGTCATTGGAGTCATCGGCGAATACAACATACCATTTCGCCGCGTGAGTTGCAGTTCCTTCAATTTCTCCGCTGCGGCATGGATGCCCCTCGTTCCCGACAGGGGGACGGTATACGCAAGCACGGCACCAGAAAGTGTTCAGCCTCGAGCTGGGGAAAGAGCGAATCGAAGAAGCAGGCGAGTCTGCTGATCCTGGTGGTGTCCTTGGCTCGGAGTAGTCTTTGACGTAGAATGCTCGAAGTGCTGGCCTTCCACTACTGGACTCTGCAGTGCCAATACCAGAGGAGGCTTCAGACGTCGACAGAGGGAGGCTTTCAACAAAGTCTCGTGACAATTGCCCCACAGTGAGACTTTCAACCTCGGGGCATGCGCGCGCGATGCATCGCAGTGTCTCAGGAAAGACCACGATTTGAGGCAAGACGAGCATTTGTAGCTCGGGCCACGCATCTATCAAGCCAATGATGTCTGAATTCGAATACTGACTGGCCTCCGGAAGGGCCTGGAGGATCATGACGTCTTGGAGGCGATGAAGGCCGAGTAATGGACTCCCGGGACCAGATACCTGCGCGTCAGTTGTCACTGGGTCTAAGAGGAGGGGCTCATCTGCATCCAAATGGGTGAAGTGAAGTCTCCGTAATGACACCGCGTTGCGGCGACGCAGTAGGTCAAAGATTACATAGAGCACATCCGAGGTCTCTCTTCGCATGTCGTTGCCTAGGGAGTCGGTGTCGTCGTCTAGGTCGATGTCGTTGTCTAGGTCGCCCTCGCATACTAGCTCCACATCCTCGAGTTCGGGGGCAACAATCGCGTTGACAAGGTTCCTCACCCCTATGAGTGGGCCACTGAGACGTAGGAGTCTCAGGTTCGCGAACGGGGGAACGGATGGCATTTCGCAGTTGCTGGCTGACTGAGGATGATAATCGTCCTCGTCAACATTCGGGATGGCGACGGATATCCTGAGCTCGAACAGCCCTTTGATTGTCGAGATGATTGGAAGCGCCGCGCTAGCGAGGGCGCGAGGAGTTTCTGTTATGTCGAGCGTGCGGATACCCTGGCATAGGAAGGAATTACTGGGTCCCGACTTTAGTGCGTTCCAAAAGGCTTCGTGCCCCAGCAATCGTAACTCGAGCTCTTTGAGGTCGGGGAGGTCCTGTAGTATGGTGGGAAGGAGTTGCTTGAGAGCATGTCGCCGCGTACGATACGCGTATTCATGGACTTGATGGCCATTCTCGTCCTCGTGGATGTCTTCAGGTAGGCGCAAGGTGCGAATCGACGGCGAGATTACTGACACCAACTCAGGTGTTGCATGTTCCCATATAAGCTCCCGAACGTTCGGAAAGAGCGGCATGTCTCGCGCGTGCCGCTGAAGGAACAGGAAGACGGTGGGGTCGATTGACCATTGACCTCTCGAGTATTCGAGCACCCGAACAAATGGCGCATAGCGCTCGAAGCGCGACCAATCCTTCGCGCAGATGGGTCCTGATACATATCGCTTTGCAGATTGGGACATGAGAATGATGGTACTTAGCACCATAGTCAGTTAGAAGAGAACTTACATAGGTGAACCGGTGCAGACGTGGATTGTGCACTATAGCCATATCTTCGTTTGTATCGTCATCGTCAAATCCTCCTCCAAGATAGCCGCCGTTGTCTTCGGGCTCCTTGACAGTGCCATGGCCGAGCTGCGTGTCCAACAGGACAGCATCAAGAAATTCGACGAGTTCGTGTTCTCTCCAAAGAACCCTCACCGCCGGCTCGTTGAACGTACGACAAACCCGCGCACATGCAGCAAGGGTACCCCGGTCAAATGCACTGTGAGCGCGGCGGTTTCGAATCAGAGTGTGCGAAGACAAGTACTGGAATACTTTCTCCAGTAACTCTGGTGGAAAGCAACGACTGGAGGATGCCATGTTTAAGTTACACTGGAGTGGAACACACGTGTCAAAGAGATCCTCCATAATCTGAGTGACTCACAAACCCAGGGAGAGCTCGAAATTGTCTCGAAAAACAAAGACTTGGGCAAGGTCGTGTGACGTGTGTAAGGCGAAAGGTGCGTCGTTACTCGTAGACGCGAGTTCTAGCGCCCAGCGGCGAAAACGTCGCAAGCATCACCTGATCGTGTTTAACGATACGCGCTTCAGTTTGTCACTGGCAGTAACTTACCTCGAATTTACCTGTGCAAGGTCGCACCAAGTATATATGTACCTTTGAATCTGAAAGCCGTGGTAGTCCTGTTCCAGATCTCGTTACCTCTGTCTTTCTAGTAACAGGCGAGATCATTGATGTGTTGGGATTCTAACTCGCAGAAGATGACACGAAGTATTCGCATGGAGGTCACATTCCTGCGACGCAGAATGTCGAAGGTTACGCTGAGAGCATCCACCTCTAACCTGACGTCGCCTGGGTCAGGACTACAGGTTAGTTCGATGTCCTCCAGCTCGGGTGCAACGATGGCGTTGACGAGGTTCGCCACGTCCGTCGCCCATCCATCGAGCCCCAAGCGTCTCAGCTTCATAAATGGGCGAATAGACGACATACACCAGTCATTGATCAGCTGAGGATCGTGCAGAGTTTCCCTATCAACGAGTCACATTGAGCTCCATTAGCTCCTCGATTGTCGGAAGGATAGGAAGGGCAGCTCACACGAGGGCGCGATGCGTCTCGGAGATATGCAGAGTGTGGATGTTACAGCTGAGGAAACAGCCGCCAGGCACCGACTTGAGCGGATGCCAAAAGGCCTCGTGTCCCAAGGACCGTAGCTCGAGCTCTTTCAGCTCAGAGAGATCGCACAGGACGGTGGGCAGCAATTGCTTGAAGGCGTGCCGCCGCATGCGATACCCGTACTCCTGCACCTTGTGACCTCCTGAGACGTCTTCACGGAGGCGAAGAATGCGGATAGACGAGAAATAACAGAGATGAGCTCGGTGGAGCATTACATATCTGTGGTGCTCGTGAACGACAACGACAACTGAAGGTGCGACTACTGGCGAGCGAACAGATCATACTGAGTAAATCCATGAGTTTTGTTTGCGAATGAATCCAAATGCTATGCGCGGCGAGTGTAAACACGCCTAGACACGAGCCCATGTCTGTTATCTCATACTGCAAAGCAATATATCATCGCACTGCGCGGCAGCAAAGCAATGAATCAGTAGTTGCTCGTACCATTCCATCGCGCTTGTTGCAACCGCGACACCTCCTTCAGCACGTCAGGAGACTCCGGTGTCGAAAACGTTCCGACTTCAAAACGAGTGCAGTCGGGGAAGCATTTCAGCGAACACTGCCCAGGTTCCAGTTGCGGAAACAGAGCGGCCAGGAAGCGCGCAACTCTGGTGATATCTGCGGCCAATATCGCGCAGGGAAGCGACGTGCGTAGCTGTCGAAGCGCAGACGTGCGCCGTGCGTCAGAGCCCGCACTCTCATCACGAGAGGCAGGTGGGAGGAGGTCGACAAAGTCTTTCAGCAGACGCTTCACCTCCAGACTCTCGAGCTGAGGGCATTCGCGCGCGATGAGCTGAAGGAAGTCGGGGGAGGCTTCGGTGCCTGGCAAGCCGAGTGACCGTAGTGCTGGCCAAGCCGCTACCAAGGCAGGAGGATTCACGTGCCACCCTGGCTGCCCTGGCATACAGTGATTCCATGGAGATGGCGAATCTCGAGCAGCGAGCGAGCGAGCGAGGGAAATGGCATGTCCGCAGCGGTTCCGCAGGGGAACACAGATACATTGAGATCGAGTATCAAGCTGAACACCCGCAGAGATGTTGCATTTCGGCGACGCAGCCGGTCAAAGACCGCAGAGAGCGCAGTCTCTGCCATGGCTCGATACTCGCGATCCGGAAGAAGGGAAACGTCCACGGTCCTCAGTGTTATGTCTTCCAGATCTGGTGCGGCAATTGCTTCGACGAGCGCTGCCCCGTTGCCGTACGACCGTTGAGCGATAGCCGCCTCAGCCTCGCGAAGGGGAAAGTAGATGGCGTGAACGTATAACTTTCCGATTGGTCTACGTAGGAATCATAGACGGCAATGTCAAGTTCACTGAGGTTCAGAATGGTCGAGACGGCGGCAAGGACCGCTTTCATGGTGGTCCGAGATGACTCGACTATATGCAGGATGCGGATGTTCTGGTTGACGAAGCAGCCGTTTGGTGTCGACGTGAACGGGAACCAGAAGAACTCGTGCCCAAGAGCTCGCAGCGAAAGCTCTTCAAGGTTAGGAAGACCCTGAAGTACGGCAGGAATGAGCTGCTTGAAGGCATGCCGCCGCATCCGGTACCCATACTCGCGTTGATGCGAGGCATTCTCCTCTTCAGCGGTATCATCAGGGAGGTGAAGGATGCGGATGGACGGTGATATGACCGACACCAGCTCCGGGGTAGCGTGTTCCCATATGAGTTCACGTAACCGAGGGAACAGCGGGTTGCCATGTGAATGCTGCTGCAGGAAAAGAAATACAGAGGAGTCCACTGTCTCCTCAGTTGGATAGCGGAGGACTTGAATGAACTTCGCGTAGTACACGAAGCGCGACCAATCCTCCGGAGAGATGGGACCTGGTAGATAATGCTGCATGTGCTGGTCAGCACGGCGAGAAACGGCAAACTCGTCAACTCACTAGCCACTCACATAAACATGGGGATACTCATTTAGATCCACGCCTACAGCCATATCTTCGTTTGCATCGTCGTCCGATTCACTACTGGCATCCTCCCAATATACCTCCTCCTCGGGCCACTTGACACAGCCCATAGCAAAGTTCGACAAGACTGCCTTGCAAACGCAGCTGAGATATTGTTCCTTCCAGAGGACAGTCAACGCTATTTTGTGGTAAGCGTGACACGTCCGCGCACATCTAGCAAGGGCCGTCCGCGCGACGCGGAAGTCGTCACTGTACGTGGGGCCGAGCGGAGAGAGTAGTTGGAATATCGCATCTATTAGCTCGAATGGGAGCAGATCCGAGGGGGTGATTCCGGCAAGTGGTGAAGCTTTGAAGACTGATGCTGCAGATTCGTCTGTAGGATTGTAGATTGTGAAGTCTAGCACTGGCAAGAAACGAGAAACGACTTGATATCGGCAACACGCCGCACTGTGCGCATTGGCCCGGAGTCACCTGATCGTGTTGATCCTCCTCGCCACAGTCGCGATCCCGGCTTCAGGTTGCTTCAAGTATCAACTACTAATGCTATGTATGGGCCTCCTCCGAGTTCTCTTCTGCATTGGCGACTCGACGACTGTGTATGTGCTTATGTCTCTCAATCTGCTCGCTCACATGTCAGTGTTCCACTGCATAGGTTTCATCGCCGCTATTGTCAATGGTGCTCGACCTCAAGATGCACTCGAACGCGTTGACCAATGACGACGACCGAATCACCATGATGAGCCTCCATGATCATGGATCACATTGCATCCGACTCTGGACCTTGGTGTGGGTCTGAGGTCTCGTCGCTCCGCCCCGATTACGAAGCTGCTGGAAGGGAAATTCGGTACGTGCGCTACTCACTTCTACACACGACCTCATCGACTTATCATCTCCAGTAGCTGTTGCGGGTGTGAGCCCTACGATCGATTTCTTAGATAGGTCATTCGTAAAAGACATTGCTGTAATGAACCCCTCGGCTGCCTTATGGATCTCTTGGACTTGCTGGTCGGACAGTCGTGGTGAGGGCGTCTGATGTCCATGACTCAGCCCGAGTCAAAAAGGCAAGCGCATGACAACCGTGTAGAAGGTCGTACAAAGCTCCATTGTTGATAACCCAATCACAACGATCATCCAAATGTCCTTCGTGAACCTCTGCACTCCTCGTCCAGCGAATCCGCCGTCTGCTATTGCCGAGACCGACCTGGACACCACGCTATATGGACCCTCTCCTTACGACATCAACTTTGCGTTCCCACTGCCTCCCACATCGCTTGAAGGCACACACATACGCCTCACTCCATTCATTCCTCGCGTACATGGCAGGGCGTACTGGGACACTGTCGAGCCCGTCTCCGGGGAGCTCTTCCGATACTTCGGTGTCGCATTCCCTACCATGGCGGACAACCTCGCGTACCTCGAGAAGTTCTACCGACAGAATCCGGAGTTTATGCTCTTCGCTATCATCGACAAGACTCGATCAGCAGGACGACCTTCAGGAGACATCGACGACGACACAACGAGCAGCGACTCTACGCCGGGCAGTCTTGCCGGTGTGATAGGCCTCCTCCGCGCCTCCCCCGACCAATTAAAAGCAGAAATCGGCTACGCGATCGTCTTCCCTGCATTCCAGCGAACCCACGTCGCCACGCACACTGTGGGTTTGCTTCTCCGATACTGCCTCGATCTTCCGAGTGCGTCGCCTCCTGGGCTCGGTCTGCGGCGCGTGCAATGGTCTTCGCATTCGGAGAACATCGCCTCGATACGACTCGCGGAAAAGATGGGGTTCAAGAGAGAAGGGCTTCTCAGGTGGATGTGGGCTATCAACGGGGAAGGACAGAGGTCCCGGGAAGGCGATCCGAAGGAAGACAAGAGAGGATGTCACACAGTAATTTTGGCGATGTGTTGGGACGATTGGGAGGAAGGCGGACGAGATCACGTACAAGCTAGATTAAGCACATAGCATCGCATCCTTGCTACCTACCATTGCTACCTACCATTACCCCTCGCGTCGCAAATTGGCGACTCAACCTGGCTTGAGTCAAAGAGCTGGACCTAATTAACTCTGTTAGCACTGCATGACTCGAGTCCCACCACACGGAGATACATACCAGTTCATTACGTGGAGGAGCCACTCACTTGACGATCTTCTGAAGACTTCTCGCCTCACCGACAGCCGCCTCCGTGACTCGTAGTTGCACCTGCATGAGCGCTGGTGGTGAGGACATTATAAGTGAAAGGATACGGAGGCGTCGCACCGCAACGCGAGGTCATGACGTACGACTGTGCCCCGAGCTGCAGCTCCGCCTGCAGGTTTGCCACTTCTTTCATTATCTTGATCCAGCACTCGCCGGACGACATACGCTCCCAAGGCCGGTAGGATCGCTCGGGGCAAAGCCGCGGGAACAGGTGGCTCAGGAAATGCGCAATCCTGTTGACGTCCACAGGATCTGGTATCTGGTTTGGGTCGCGGAGGTGTAACTCTTCGAGCCCGTGTTCTGTGATGTTCGAACGCGGTACATCACGAAGACGTGGACCGCCAGACGCGCTCGAGACCACCGGAGGCAGCTTCAAGTTGAGGAATTCCTCCGACAGGTGCAGTGCCTCCAGTGTCTTCAGGCGAGGATGGCTGTGTACCACGGCCTGGAGGGTCTCTGGGGTGAGTATCAGCTGCACCAGGGATAGTTTTTGAAGTGCTGGCCACGCCGCCAGCACAGTAGGTTCCAGAATGCTAGTGTCTGCGATGCCGGACGCGTCGATGCAGAGCTCCTCGAGGTCGTGTAGGAGTAGTAATGGTCTGATGGCATCGTTTAATGGCACGGATATCGCTTGGTCAGGACGGGCCGCGCGGCGTCGTCTTCCAAGATTTTGCACTCTAATCTGGACCGTCCGCAAGGATCCCGTGTTCCGTTTGCCCAATGTGTCCACGATAGAGCCAAATAGCCCCTCGTCCTGCGAAGATTCGGCATAAAATGTGCCACGCAACTTGAGGAGGCTCAGCTTGGGCGCGTTGATCACGTCGACAAGTGTCGTAACAGCACCCATAGGCCCGTCAATTCGTAGGTGACGCAGGCTTTCGAATTCAAGATCGCTCCCCCATATGTGGGGCTCGATTATATCATCCCGGTCGTGATGAGAGTCGATGCTGAGTTCTTGAAGCTGCGAGATCGTAGAGATGATAGGAAGGGCACCGTGAAAGAGGACGGGGAGGGTTTCCGATATGTGAAGGATTTGGATGTTCTGCGCGACGAACTGACCTGTGGATGGCGCCACAAACTGCTCCCAGAAGCCCACATGACGTAGCGACCGAAGCTCGAGTTTCCGTAGCTCTGGCATCCTGCGGAGGATGCCAGGGAGCACCGTCTTGAACGCATGCCGGCGCATGCGGTACCCCAACTCGTTCGGCCTGCAGTTGTTCTCCTCGGCTTCGTCGTTGTCCGAAAGCCGAAGAGTCCGTATGCTCGGCGATATGACTGAGACGAGTTCCGACACGGCATGGTCCCACTCGACCTTGAGAAGGTTTGGGAAGAGTGGCTGGCCTTGTGTGTGCTGATGAAGATAGAAGAAAACAGATGGGTCTAGTTTCTCGTCTATGGTGTACTGAAGGACGCGAATGAACTGCGCGTAGTACTTGAAGCGAGACCACTCCTCTGACGAAATCGGTCCGGGTAGATAGTTCTGCAGGGTAGGACAACGACGAATGCATTAGCGCAGCTCATAAATCGCGTGCTACTGGTTATACGCACGTAGGTGTATTTCCAGTCATCCGGGTCAAAATCCTCAGGAGGCCAATCTTGGTTACCATCCTCGTCATCCTCGTCATCCTCGTCGCCATCCCCTTCGTCTTCATCCCTAGGGCCCTTGACACAGGCGTAGGTGAACTCCCGTAGGATTGCACCACAGGCATTCGTTATGTTTTGCTTTCTCCAAAGGACCTCAGTGCAGGAGCCTGGAAGGCACGACACGCGCATGCGCATCGGACCAGGGTGGCCTCCTTGACGGCCCTGCCGCCGCCAAGGGGCACAAATGCCAGAGCTAAGTGTTGGAAGACCTCGTCGACCACGTCGAGTGGAAGGGAAGGGGCCGATGACAGCATGGTAAGTCAACTTGTGTGGACGACGCTGAGCAAAGGTCAACCAGAGGCGCCTACCTTCGCTACGGAGCACAGCATCAGCTCCTGTACTCAGACGTAGGTAGGCTAATAGCGCCCACTGCACCCGTCATTCTGCGAACACTGCACACCTCGAACACTGCTAGGACTATGAAGGACATAGCCATCGGTACTTCGTAAATATCCTATCGCGGATGACTCTACGGTGTCAATGTTCGCGCGACATGTACGCGCGTGGCGACAACCTCCAGCGAGAGTCACCTGACCGCGTCGATGCCAGACGACACTCGGGCTCAACTTGGACCTAGGGACCAATGTTGTCTGCACTCATACAATCATCTCCTTCGGTCCCTTCGATAACTCGTATTGGGGCTCATCAAGGGTCTGGCTGGAACTCCCGGGCCGTCGATGGGAATTGTATTCTTTGCGGCGTCAGGTTGGGCTGAAGCCGAGAGTTGGCAGAACCATCGGATGTACAGTCGAAGGTTTCTGCGTGCGTGGATCGCTGTATAATCAACCATCGACCTTGTATAGTACAGTCTTTTGGATCTACCAAATGTTTGTCGTACATCGATAACACCAGATGTAAATGCGGCATGGCGCATTCAGCATCTTCCTTCCTACAACATGACATGATATGAGCTCAGGATAGCTGACCAGCACAAGACACTCACTTCACGAGCACCTCATGTTCCGCTGTCGTGCGAGCTGCAACTTGGCCACTTCCCCCATGATGTCAGGCCAGCTCCCTGGGTCTTCGGACTTACCATCATCCCTCGGCGCCACACACCTATCTATGTCAAGCCTTGGAAAGAGCGAGTCCAGAAAGGAAGCGATTGCTCGGATGGGACCAGACTCCCGAACTTTGAAGGTACCGTCGATGCGTAGGCAGCGGAGCGCAGACGCGCCTGTGTTCAAGCCGGTACCAGCAGGGTCTACGCAATAGAAATGGCTAGCAGCGAGCTTCGCGGGATCGAGAAAGTCCCACGTTAATGTGAAGACCGTCAGACTCTCGATATGAGAGCATGTACGTGCGACCGCTTGGAGAAACCTGGGGGTCGCATACTGTCCTAGGAGGGAGAGGGTCCGCAACGTCGGCCAAGCTGATACGATAGCAGGGGCGTTCAGGGACACCTCCAGATGATCCCTCCGTTCTTGGGATATCTCAATGGCACGGAGGCGACGAAGCTCGAGTAATGGACTTGTCAAGGAGGGGAATGGTGCGTTAACCGCAAGCCCGGCAGTGGGAAGCAGAGGTAAGTCGAGGTGACGGAACGAAAGGTGGAGTTTCCAGATGGACGCTGCATTTCGGCGACGCAATAGATCAAAGGCCGTATGGAGCGACTCTCCTATACGGGTGTCGTGGCCTGCAATCGGCGTACACAAGCAGGAGAGTTCCATGATCTCAACGTGGGGGGCGTCGATCGCTTTGACCATGCTTGCCATCGTGTGCACGGTCAAGGCATCAATCCACAGATGCTTTAGTCGCGCAAAGGTATGGATGTATGATGTGTCCCAGCGATCGTACGCATACGCGTCAAAGTCAGATCCCGCGCTCACGTCAGTGAGTTTGATCCTGAGCTCCGTGAGCTCCGTCATTGTCGAAAGGGCCGGGAGAGCAGCTGTCAAGAGGTCACGACCCGACTCGCAGATATGGAGGGTGCGGATGCTCTGGCCGATGAAGCAGGGACTGCCGGGTGTCGATGTGAAAGAAGACCAAAAGGCCTCATGGGCGACTGGTGGAAGCTCGAGTTCCTGGAGTCCTGGGAGGCAATGCAGTACGTGAGGAAGGATTTGCTGGAATGCGCGCCGCGGCATGCGGCCCCCAGATGCTTCCAGATCACTCCTATGCGCTGGACCGTAGTCTTTCGGAAGGCGCAGAATGCAAACAGCAGGCGTGACTATGCACAGCAACTCGGGCGTCGCATGCAACCATTGTAACTCCCGGATATTGGGGAAGAGCGGCCTGCCTCGTGCTTGCTGCTGGAGGATAAAGAAGACAGAGGGATCGATCGTGTCCGTGGACAAGTAGTAAAGGACGCGGACAAATCGGGCGTAATGTTCGAATCGCGACCATTCGTGCGCAGTGAGGGGCCGCGTTAAGAATATCTTCGTACGATGATGAGCCAGAAATGCGATGAAGTCTGGTAGCAACATAAGACTTACGTAGCCAAAGGGACGATTATGCGAGCGAGCTCCTGTCGTTCCATGCGCACTGAGTTTATCGACATCGACCAATCCGCCAGGCCGTCCGACAGCACTGTCGTTCGACAGGATTGCACGAAGGACGTAATTCAGATGCTGTTGTCTCCAAAGGACTCTCGCAGCCGGCTCGTGTAGAGCGCGACACACGCGTGTGCATCTAGCAAGGGCCTTCTGGGAGGTCAAACTGTCCGGCTCTACAATCACTTTGGAGCATCTGTACGGCGAAAGCTGCTCAAATATGTTGTCCAATAGCTCCTGAGGAATGCTCGAGAGGGGCATATCTAAAGCTAGGCAATCGCATGCAGTGTGTTGGAAGATAGCTTTTTTCCAGACCTCGAGAGTGAGTGTAGGACTGAGTTAGAGAGACACGTAGCAGGCCGTGGAAACAGCGGTTGTCACTGCGACTGCAGGGCGCTGTGAGTCCGACAATGCGGTGAACGTGAACGCGATCAGGTGATGTAATCACTACATGTGCCGGGCTCGGTTCACGCGTTCGCAACTTCGCAAGTCGCAACCCCGAGGGGTGCGCGTAAGATCAGTAATACCCGTCAGTCGGCGAGCGATCTTCTTGCACACCACTAGTAGGTACCCCATTTTAAGCTTGCCAATCATAATGCACCCATGCTAACAGATAGTCGAGGAATGAATATGCTTTACGCAATCCACAATCACTAGTAAGTAGCTTGGGTGTCATACTGTAATCATGTCAGAGCGACTGCCGCGAACCATGTCGTAGGCAAAGTCTTGCGCTTGGGAGGTTACATGCAAGGTAAAGTGCGTCACCTTTCATACGCTCTGCTCAGATCCCTTCAGCCATCTTCTACAAGAGAGTGGACGCTATTACCCAAAGCAACTATAGTTGATTTTGAGAAAATTCTCCGCGGCACGCTCCGCACAAGTGCTCAGACAGAGAGAACGCTCGCGGTCAGTCTATCTTGCCCGTGGTCCGTTCGGAGTTATCGCTATCTGCCATGAGCAGCTCCCCCACCGCGCACGTACCCGCTGCCCAGACGAGCAGCAAGGAGCTGATGACGAAGAACGTGATAGACTGGCCGATCTCCAGCCACGAGCCTATGTACATCCCGGTCAGTGTGCTAGGCCACCGTAAGACTTTTGCACTCACCAGTGTCGGTGACGTTGAAGAAGAACGTCATCGTCATCACTACCATCGCGCGTCAGCCGGAAGTCAGCGAGACCGGAATGTCCTCACCATCTGTGAGCGTCAACGCAACCAAGAAAAGACTGAAAGGAGGCAGACGCAGGCGAGTGTTCAGCAGATGGAGACACATCGCTAAGATGATATACGGTGCGATGATCTTGTATATCTGGCGCCCGAATTTCAGCTTGAAGCCAACGAGATGGTTCGGTACGAGGACGTACCAGTAGAACGGCCATCAAGAACGGATTGAAGACCGGGACTAGGCGGTAAACAGGTTCAAGGTAGAAGGACCTGCAGAACCGGTCAGTCTCGTCCTCAGGCATCTGGCCATCGGGCTCACGATATCGACGCAACACTGGTAGGCCAATCAGCTCTCAACGCGCATGTCCATTCTGGTATACAACTCACTTTCCCGTGCCGAAGAACGCCACCTGTACGAAGAACAGGAAGAACACCGCTATCCTGAAGTCGTCCACCCGCGGCCTGTAAGCGGACAGCTTCACCGTGTGACCGTCATCATTACCATCGACCGCAACCTGAGTCGTCCGCACAGCAGCCTCCACCTCTACCCATAGGAGGAGCGTAGCCGAGAATGCGAAGTAAAAGAGGCCCTCGACGCTGATCGACAATATGACAAAGCAGACGGAAAACGCGAGGAAAAACATCATCAGCCGTGCGAGAGCAGGGAGACTTCGGAACCTGAAGAAAAAGGGGAACGCAGATGCGACCACTGTTCTTGATTAGTCAAAAGAAACATTACGACAAGATGGAGACACCGACGGAAGATCGCCCAGCCGAGCGTCTGGTTCAGTGGGGGCAGACCCGCCTTTGCGCGTAGGCTACGCGCAGAACTGATCGTGACCAGGAGGCTCGCAGCGATGAACAGGCACTGTGCCATTCATCAACATAAGACTAACGCAAGACGGATCTGGCGTACCTGAGTTGCAAGTGCGAATTTGAAGCGCAGTTCTTCTTTGGGGTCCACCCGCACTTTGAGTATAGCCACGACGCCAGCTGCGAGCATACCTATCGCCGCGGCGGTTCTGGAACGCATGTGTTACCTCACGTCCGAAGCACACATGAAATGGACTGACATGGCGCGCAGATCTTCTTGCTTATCCACGCTGAGCATGGGGAACACCGCCGTGGTCAAGCACGCAGCGGACCACCCAAACAGCAACACCGTATGCTTCGACCAGAGACCTTTTGGCGTGAAGAGCACAGGCCATAGCACACCAATTACGAGGAATCCGGCGCTCCAGACCTCGCGGCGAGTGTAGCCGATCTTCGATGACGGTCATTCACTGAGGAAAGCCAATAGGTATATGACTTACCACCATGCTCTGTAGCGCTAGAACGACGGCAAGTCCTCTGACCGACAGTCGGAGGACGTCCGAGACACAATTGTTCGAGTTTCTGAGGTACCGTCGGAGCGGGTCCTTCGCCCTAAACAACGCCTGGTGCCAGAAGTAGACCGGAAAGCAGATGTACAGGTAGAACGTCCAGGGAGAACGTTGCTTTGCGAACGCCGCCCAGAACGTCACCAAGGACGTCAACGCAGTCGCATCCAGGACAACAGATTGTCTTCGTGCCCCATTCGTTGATGTATCTGGAGTCAGGAATATGGACACTGCGCCGAAGGCGATCCAGCCGAGGTACGCAGCCAAAACGATGCCCCGGACGAGCGTGCGGTCGTACCTAGACACGACAGCGTAAGCGGGCTAGGTTGCAAAGTGGTAAACGAAGTAGTGCACACGTCTCGAGGTACCGCAGGCCGTCCAGCGTGGCTCGTATGAGCTCCTTCGCTATGGCTCTCGCGTCTGTGTATTTTCCTTGGTCGATCAGGAGCTCAATGCTTCTCAGGTGTTCGACTCCAGGATCGTCCGAAGGAGAGCTAGCGAAGTACGGAAACGGCTTATAGATCAGTGTATGCGCCTCCTCCAGCTCTAACACAGCATTGTCAACGAAACGACAAACAGGTTGACTAACCACCCACCATGCTTCACGCGATAATGCTCCAACACCACTCTCGCATTCACGAGCGCCGCCTCCGCCAACGTCCGCTCTCCCCCGTCGGGACTCAGGTATCCTGGACGCGCGGGGTCGACGTCCGGCAGGACACCAACAGAGTTCACAGGCCAGTGCACGCCAACGAGCGCAGCCATGAGCGCGGCCACGTCGGCCTGCTCGACGTCGCGCCGCAATAGGTGGCCTAGGCGCCACGGGGCGGAGTAGTCGTCGTGCGAGGAAGGCGAGCTGTCTGGAAGTGGCCCGCGTACGCCTTTGCCCCACGCGACGAGCGGGGTGCGGGTATTGTCAGGGTCTGAAAAGAGGGTCAAGGGTGAGTGAGCCTCGAAAGAGAAGAGGATGCAGCGTGAATGTACTCACGTCCATCGCCGTGATTCCCGATGGTGGACATGCCGTGGTCGGCGGTGAATACGAACGCGGTCTCGGAGTCTTTGTAGAAGTCGATGAAGAGTTGCTCCACTTGGTGCACGATCTCGTCGACTACTTGGATGTTAGCCATGTATTCCTGTGAACGATGGGTCAGTAGGTACTCGAGGGATATACATCACTGTGAGTTCTCACTGGAGAATGTGGTCGGTAGGAGTGACCGGTAGTGTCGAGGCCAAGCAGGTGGAGGAAGAACACGGTCTGGCCCTGATGGAGGGTGGCATCGAGGCTTGGATCCGCGGTAGCGTTGTGGAACAACGTCCGCAGGTGTTCGAGCACCCATACGTCTAGTGCTGTCGCATCTATAGTTTGTCTAGCTGAGGGCTCAATACCTTCATCGTGACCGAAAACAGCATACCTTTCGTGAAGTCCTCCTCATCCTCATCATAGCACCACATGTCTACCTTTCCTGGCGTCGCGCCCCGCGCAAACATGGGCAAGATGTCTGGAGACCCAAATGAGAACGTATGGCTCGATTGATTGAAGACAGAGTCGAAGTCAACCTGATGGACGTCCGTACTCTCAGAGCTGGCAGTGAGGGTGAAATGAAAGGTCGTTTACTGGATTTGTCTTCCATCCCTAGCGCACTGCTCAGTATGATGACGATATGCTAGTGAACATATTTCATTACTTTCGTTACCGCAGACACATCCTCGTACATGCCGCCTATACATCATCCTAAGCTTCCCCCAGCCTGTAATCTTCGAGCATGAAGTCCTACCGATCAATGCGACGTGTCCAGGCCGACTCTCCGTAGGGACATGCGTGTGCGAGATGCCGAACGCGCCTCTCGACTCGATGATGGAGCGAAGGTAAGGCGCAGCAAACTCTGGCGCAGATGGAATTGATGGAAAGGGATTCTGCGCTAAGGCAAGGTCTGCCCGCAGACCGTCCGCTAAAATCCAGTCAGAGCGGTGTCAACTAGTATCGATTAAGACACGCACCGACGATGAGTACCAACCGCTTGGCCTCCCCATGGTTGAGCTTGAACTTCCGCATACCATAGACGACTGGGCTCGTGAAATAACAGTCAAACACTGTACCGATGTATACCAGGTGGAACACCAGTCCAATGAGCAGCAGCCGGAATATAGGACGTTGTCGAGCAGCCATGGTTGAGAGAATAGGATTCGCCGGTACGTAGAAACAGCGGAGTCGGTGCTGCGCAAGAGAGCTACGTCTAGGCGAGTACTCGTGGAAGCTGTACGAGGTCGCCTGTGACTGGTTTGCGTACGTGTCGTAGCAGATGCTGTTCTTTACTGAAGGTGGAACAGTTTTGACAGTCCTTCCCGTTGTATCTGATGGTAGCGCGTCCGATGTCTCTTTGTCCGCAGTCGGGATGAGTGTGGTACTCGTCGAGTTCCCGGAGGAAATGGTGCGTTGAGTTCTAGACTGCTATGCTCGCGCTGAGTCTCGACGTTTTCACAGGCCGGCGGTATACAAGATGAACCCGTCGTGACGGGTTGTGCTTGGTTTGTCGCCAGGGTCGGGATGAGGTGCAATATGATAGAGAGGGTGTGCGGTACAGTGCATGCAGCGACGGGACTGGGAGTCGGAGGACTTGTTGGTGACATGGTGACACGCCGTTCAGGGCCAAACACCGCGTAGGCGCCCGTCTCAAGAGTCCTCCTACCATCACAACCTACCGCTGCAAAAGTTCGGCAGCACAAAACTGTATTGTGCGGTCCTGCATCCCGTGTGTAGCCACCCCGAGCATCCGAAACGTGCTGGAGCCCACACATAGTACCGTATCAACATGCACGTCAATCGAACGACCTGAACGACGCCGATGCTGCTCCTCCATGGAATCGACGTGGGCTACATAGCTTTGGAAGTCTGAGCTCAAGTGACCATGTTGTGCTTCAAGCGCAGGAGAGCTCACTCGTTGTGGGTTCAATCTTCGGGATAGTATGCCAATATCTGGTGAGTAGCATGCATGTCAATACGTGTTGATCGTCCGCTTGACATAACAACAAGCCTCCCTAGATACTTATTGTCCATGCGTTGATTCGCTCTCAAGAACCTTTGTCACCCCGGCGGTGTAATCCCGGTCCACAGGATCTTCAAAGCACATAAAATATAGCGCAATGTCCACCTTTACCTGCGACCGATCAGCGCACCCTACGGTCCGCGGACCCAGCCGCGTGATCCCCAACGCACGCCTCTGCGGAGACTTCCCGTTACTCTCAGGCTTCCCGCATTCTTACGAGCCGCGTATAAAACGGAGTGCGTATATCATCTCATGTACGCGATCCCAGAATGGCCGCCTCGTATGCTTTGGTGCTCTTGGTAGCGGGATTATGCGTCTCGGGCACTACGCCTAGTGGGCCGTGGGACGCGTTCAACCTTGCACCGGAGAGCAAGGCGGTATACGCGCGCACAGTATATGGTGTCACCGGTACTGTGGAAAACGCGGACAACCTTGCTAACAACACAGGCAGCGCTACTCTGGTGGGCGATGGATCGTACGTGACTCTGGACTTTGGCTACGAGGTGCGCAGGCTGTTCATCCTTAACATAACAAAGTTGTTACGTCTGACTAGTGCTTCTTCAGGTCGGAGGGATTGTGTCGTTGACTGTCGACAATGCGACTTCGTTGTCGTCACTGGCGCTCTCCTTCACCGAGTCCCCGTTGTACATCAGTCCCCTCACCTCTGATGATACTGCTGTCCAAGACGCTAGCATGTCATACGACGGCGTTCTTCCACTCACTGCACCACTCGAAACTGGGCTCTGGACGGCACCGGACTATCGTCTGAGGGGAGGCTTCCGCTACCTGACAGTCGTCTCAACCTCAAACGACCCTGTCACTATCTCTAACGTCTCTTGCGCGATCTCGTTCATGCCGCATTGGGAGGACCTGCGGAATTACACTGGGTACTTCTTCGCCTTAGACGCAGGATCAGATGACGAAGACTTGTTGACGAAGGTCGGTCGCATATGTCCTGCTTCGATTGGCCCCGACTCACGGCGCTCTTGGTAGGTCTGGTACTCGGGCGCTTATACCGTGCAGACGGCGACAATCGCAGCGGACACTGGACGCGTCGACCCTCCCTTGGGTTCACCTGGTAAGCCCAAACCTCAACATCCCCTTTGCAGAGATTGAATGCATGTAGGCTGGTATAACAACGCCACCGCTGGCATTGCCAGCCCCGTCATCATAGATGGGGCCAAACGCGGACGGTACGCACCCGCCCTCCCTCAGAAACCCATACCCCTCATCCTAGCTCATTTTTAGCGCGATCTGGCTCGGCGACATGGATATCGCCGTGCCTACCCAGTTCGTCTCCACGTACGACCTTCTCCCCGGTAGGAACTCCATCGCGACTATCTTCTCGCTCATGACCGCCGCGGGCGAGCTGCCGTACTCCGGGCCGCCGTTGAGCGAGCAGGGCAGTGATACGTACGCGGCGTGGACGCTCATTGGGACGTACAACTATTACTTGTACTCGGGCGACCTTGAGTTTATCGAGGAGCTGTGGGGAAATTACACGAAGGCTATGGAGTACCTGGCGGCGAAGGTGGACGAGACGGGGTTATTGTATGTGACGGGGACTGGGGACTGGGGGAGGCTGTGGATGGGAGGATATAACTCGGAGGCGAACGCGATTTACTACCAGGTGAGTGTCGAAGCCGTCTATTCTCGAGATGTGCTGAGCGGGTGACAGGCACTCTTGAACAGCGCGCAGCTCGCGACATGGCTCAACGACACTGACCTCGCGGACGCCTACTCCGCGAATGCAACGAAGCTGAAGGCGGGGTTCAACGACGCGTTCTGGGACGACGACGTCGGAATGTACCGTGACAACAAGACGTCCACACTATACCCGCAGGACGGCAACGCGGTTGCGGTGCTGTTCAACCTCACGACCTCCGCAGACCAGGCATCCAGGATCAGTGAAGGTCTTACGCAGTATTGGAACGAGTATGGCGCGGTTTCGCCTGAGCTTCCGGATAACGTAGCGCCGTTCATTGGTGGCTTCGAGGCGAGTGACTCGTAGGATCTGGTATAGCCACAAAGGAACGTGCTGACTTTCATGAAGGTCTCCGCCCACTTCGCGTCTGGCAACGACGAGCGCGCGCTTGATCTTATCCGACTGGAATGGGGATACATGCTCAGCACCAACATCAGCGTGCACTCCACGTTCCTCGAAGGGTACACGTCCAACGGATCCCTGTAGTGAGTCCCACACCCCACGCACATCCGCACCCACAGGACTGCTGTTGACCAATACGCTGATAGCTACCGGTCCTACGATGGCTACGCATACGACCCGACCTTCATCAGCCACTCGCACGGCTGGAGCACCGGCCCCACCTCCGCACTCACGTTCTACGTCCTCGGCCTGACCGTCACCTCGCCCTTGGGTCAGACGTGGTCCGTCGCGCCGCATACATCGGGACTGCCGTCGGCCCAGGGTGGGTATAGCACTACGCTTGGCTGGTTCGGCGTTGACTGGACCTCCGCCGCGAGTGGATTCAATATTACCATCTCGACGCCAGAAGGGACCAGCGGCACCGTGAAGCTGCCGATCACTGGGACGGTCTATGTGGATGGTGTCGAGGTTGGCGAAGATAGCTCGGAAGCCTTCGAGCTGCCTGGCGGAAATCACACTGTCGTGGTGGAGAGATGAAGCCTGAAGAATGGACATAGTATGTGACTCGCTGTCGCTATTGAACGCCGTGGTACGCAGGGCATGCACAAAAATGCTGCAGTGCATCGTGATACGTTCTGCATACTTCGCAAGATGCGCAGCCTCCATGGATTTCTTGCGGGTAGCGGTCTCTTGACCGCGTCTTTGCCCGTGACCATCAGCCATCAAAAACATGAAATATCCCGGAACCCACGCTGAGCAGCTGACCCCGATGAGGCTTTCCACGGCCAACAGTGCGTCAGCGGACATACACGTCCGTTACGACCACCTACAAGCACACATCTACCGTTCTTCACACTCGCGAACGTTACGGGAACTGCTGACCGGTCCTGCGCTCGAATGACCAAAAGCTAAAGGCTGGCGGGCCGTTGATTTTTTGCAGCGATCCGGGCCACCGCTTCGTCTCGATGTCATGGGTTGCATGACTTATGCAGGATGACGACGGCGAGCTATAAGGCTCAGGATGACGAGAGAGGTGGGGAACTCACTGCCGGTCCACGATGGCACTGGGACGAGTGCTGGGTCTGCTGCTGTTGACGGCACCTGCTCTGGGAACGGCACCGAGCGGTCCGTGGGACACGTTCAACTTCGCGCCGCCGTCTAGGACTGTCCACGCTCGTTATGTTCGCGAGACTGGTGGCAATATCACGGGAGCGGCTAACCTGTTGTCTGAGGGTAGCGCGACTTTGAGCGGGACTGCCTCTTATGTGACACTTGATTTCGGTTACGAGGTGAGTAGTGTATCTTGAGCGACCCACAATGCCTGAATGCCCTCTTAGGTCGGGGGATGGGTGTACCTCAACTTCGACGAAGTCTCCGATGGTTCCTCTATCACGCTCTCCTTCACAGAGTCGCCGCTCTTCATCAGTCCGTTCAACTCAGACGACTCGTCCTACCCATCCGCGAACATGTCCTACGACGGCGTCCTCCACGTCTCGGCGCCCCTCGAGACTGGCATATGGACACAGCCTGCTGCCCAGCTGAGGGGAGGCTACCGTTTCCTCACCATTGCGTCTACATCGGATAGTGCGGTGTCCATATCGAATGTCTCGTGCGAGATTTCGTTTATGCCTCATGTGGAGGACATGAGGAACTACTCTGGCTACTTCTTTGCTTCAGACCCAGACTATGTCGACCAGAACTTCCTCACCAGGGTTAGTTTGCTGTCATTCGAGTTCCGAGTGGCTACTGAAAACTGGTTACAGTTGTGGTACTCTGGTGCCTACACGGTGCAGACCGGCACAGTGCCATTGGACACAGGACGACAAGTCCCGATTGTCCCGTCGCCAGGTATGCTTGCTAGTATCTTGAGTGTGTGCGATTGAAAATTAAATTGAAGGCGACTAGGTTGGGCGAACAACGCCACGCTCGGTATAGCAGGTCCCATTATCGTAGATGGTGCCAAACGAGATCGGTGAGTAATATAATAGCTCGCACGTCCACTCCGAGTCTGTACTGACTACTTGCATAGCGCCGTCTGGCCAGGTGCAACTACCCCTTGGCGGTCTGCAGTGATATTACTAACTCGAGCACAGGTGATATGGGCATCGCCGTGCCCACCCAATTCGTTTCGACCAACGACCTCCTCCCGACGCGCAACGCGCTCTCCACTATGTTCGCCGCACTCAACCCCGAGACCGGCGCGTTGCCCGAGTCGGGCCCGCCGCTCAGCCAGCAGGGCAGCGACACGTACCACGGCTGGACGCTCATCGGGACGTACAACTATTTCCTCTACTCGGGCGACTACGAGTGGCTCGAGGATACGTGGAGCAACTACACCAAGGCGGTGGCGTACTTGACGAGCAAGGTGCAGAGCAATGGGCTGCTGAACGTCACCGGGCTGAGAGATTGGGGCAGGCAGGGGCAGGGTGGGTTCAACTCGGAGGCGAATGCGATTTATTACAAGGTGAGGGGTTGCCATGAGGGCTGATCTGAGTGCTGGGCAGCTTACGTGTGTTGCTGTGCAGGTCCTGACCGATAGCATCGACCTTGCAACCTGGCTGAACGACACTGTACTGGCGAACGTGTATGCTGCGAACGCTTCGGCCCTCAAGACTACGTTCAGTGACGCGTTCTGGTTGGAAGACGAGGGGATGTACCGCGACAACCTCACGTCGACGCTCTGCCCGCAGGATGCGAACTCACTTGCCATCTTCTTCAATATCACGGAGACGGCGGAGCAGGTCGCGTCCATTAGTGACGGGCTGACGAAGAACTGGGGCGTGTATGGGTCGATCGCCCCCGAGCTGCCCGACACTGTCGCACCATTCATCAGCGGATTCGAGGTGAGATGATCGGAGCCGAGTTAGCATATTGGGTACTCACCGCGTATGATAGCTGCAAGCACATTTTGTAGCGGGCAACGACGCACGGGCCATGGACCTGCTTCACCGGGAGTGGGGATACATGCTGTACACGCCCATCAGCGTGCAATCGACGCTGCTCGAGGGATACACCGGCAACGGGTCGCTCTAGTACGCCAGCATCAACTCTTCACAAGGAGCTCACATCCTCATGCGTGTGCGCCCCAGCTACCGCTCGTACCAAGGCTACAACTACGACCCCTCGTACACCAGCCATGCGCACGGATGGAGCTCCGGGCCTACATCAGCACTGACCTTCTACGTCCTCGGCCTGCAGGTCACTTCGCCGCAAGGCCAGACGTGGTCCGTCGCTCCGCACACGTCCGGACTGCCCTGCGCCGAGGGTGGGTTCGAAACGCCGCTTGGATGGTTCGGCGTTGACTGGGCGACGGAGGAGGGTAGGTTCAACATCACTATCGACACGCCGGAGGGGACGAGTGGGAGTCTTCGGCTGCCGTACTCTGGCCCTCTCGATGGCGCTGAGGCTGAAGTCGACTCGTCTGGGACCCTTAAACTGACTGGTGGAAGCCATACGGTAGCTGTGCGCGTGTCGTAGTGAACGCGTGCGAAAAATACTGATACTTCGTGTTCAGTTGTTCACATTTGCCTTTGTGAAGGAGTCTGGCCCAACAGAACCCTCTGTGTGTATTGGGGTTGTGAGACCGCTCAACACATTCTATTTTTCT